GAAGGATAATATCCTGCTGGTCCAGTGAGTGTTTATGATATGAGAAAGTACTCCCATGTCATTAGTGACTAAAAATGGGCTCGTATGACTCATGTAACACGAGCAAGGGTTGGTCCGAATACAAAAAAAAAAAAAAAAAAAAAAAAAAAAAAAAAAAATATATATTATGTACCTTTAATCTGTAATGATAAAATAGGCAATGTATATATAATTAAATTTCCATGAAGCGTTTATTAGTATGAATTCTAATACATTTAAAGTTTTAATTTTATTCAATGCTCCTTGTTATAGAATTCAATCTGAAGTATACCCAATAGTAAAGATGATACTCGCAACTAAAGTTAATCAGGAAATTTTACATTAATCAATATAAAACTTTAAAGAAACTACTTTAGCATCCAAAAGAGGTGAAAAAAAATGAGTGAGCCAGAGAACAACAGACTTGCAGAAAAATCTAAAGGAGAAGTTATTCAATACAATATAAAATCCATGTATATGATGAAAAAAAAATTTATTACAGGTTTTATCGAGTAACAATAGAAAGAATTTCCTAAAGAAAGTCAAAAAAAAAAATTCAATACTCTTATTTATGAAAAAAAAATGCTCGCATAAGTGGGAGAGACATGTTTGGTGAAATTGCTTACATAGAACCACTTTCTTTATTCAAACAAAATCATTAAAAATAAAAATCACAATCGTTTTGTTATACAATTTTTTACAATACAAATCCATCTGTTACCTGATCTCCACAATGTGCACCATAATTTTGTCCATATAAGATATCTCGTAATAAACCATTAATGCTTTACTAACTTTTCCTTCTTTTTTAATTACAGTATTTAAGATAATGGAGTGATACTTGTTATTACATAATTTATCACATGTTCTAATTATTCAGACTGTTCTTGGATAAGATACAAATCTATAACAAAATTAGGAACACCAAGAACCACGACAACGTATTGAGCTGTATTAGTAACTGAAATTTAAAATTAAATCCTCATATTTTTCATATTTCTTAAATTTAATAAAAATTCAATGTACCAAAATGTAATATTTATGACATTTATCAATTACGATAACCTGAATAATGAAGAATATTGACTAGTTTAATTGATAATTTTAATATTTACAAATAAGATGCTGCACGTTGAAATGGTATTACATCACGAATATTTTCTATACCGGTAAATATCTTTCAAAACCGATCCCAAATTCACCATGTGGTGCAGTTGCAGTTCCATATTTTCGCAAATTAAGATCATTGTTTCTATCATGTTTTTTTTAAATTTTGTTCTAATATTTTATATCGTTTCTCTCTTAAACTACCACCAACAAGCAAGCCACTGTTTATCATCTGGATTAATACGCATATAAAATGGTTTGATTTCTTTGGGATAATCTGTAATAAACACTGGTTCATAACAGTAATTATTTGCTAAATATTTTTCATGTTCACTATGTAATGAAGAATCATATTTTGGTAGAAATTCAAATTTTTGATTTGCTTTTGCTTTTGAAAGTACATCAATGGCTTCTGAATACCTTAACCAGGAAAATGAATTATTTATTGTGATTTCTAAGCATTTGACAAGTTCTTTATCAATCTGAATCTGTTAATTACAAATGATATATCTTGTGAGTGATTATCCAAAATATATTTTGTTGTTTCTTCTCTGTGAAATTTAATAATTCTTCCAATTCAAATAAGTATGCAATTTCTGCTTCCAACATCCGAAATTCTGAAGTAAGAGATCCTTCTGCTCTAAAAACTGGTTCAAAAATGAAAACTCGGGACATTGCATATGCTAATATTTCAGCATGAAGTTATCCTGAAACTTTTAAATATATTGGCATTCCATTTGATTGTGACTTTTGTTCTAGAGATCGATACTGTGTTATACTGTATTAATGATTAAATTAAAATTGACATAATGTCTAAAATTTCAAATTATTATACTCCAAAAACAGATTTTTTTTATGAAAAATTGTAAAACTTATTTTATTTTATATATCTGATATGTATTTATCAAAGCTTAATAAAAATCCTTAAAATAAATTAATAAAAATCTTTAAATAATAAATATGCATATCGTAACACACTTCGTGTTTAATTCACTTTCGCGTTCCAATACAATTTTTGTTCAACATATTTTTTTTTTGTATTTAATTATAGATAATTATCAAATTTTATAATATCTTTATATAATATATATATGAAAAAATTCCAGAGGTCTCGATTCACATACATTTGAGACTCAAAACACTTTATCACCTACAGAATATGAAAATTGTAATAATGATGAAACTGAAATGATGAATCAATTAATTTTGTGTGTGTGTGTGTTTGATTTGGATGAGAATTATTTAAAAAAAATAATTGAAAAATTATATAACGAAAATACTAATGAAACGGACAATATATTTGTTGATGGTAATGATGATTTAATGATGGGAGCGGATTTAGAAGATATAATTATTGAACAAAAAGAGTCTAAAACTTGACCCGTTGTGTCATTGTTGATAAAATAGATGGATGTATTAAAAAGATGTGAAAATTCAAAAAGTTTTTGAACATTATGGCAACTTTGTGGGGTATGGCAAATAGATGAAGAAAGTAAACTATTAACTATTTTCATCACAATGATCATCAAGTGCTTATTTGTTTATTACGTAATAAAGAAATCCTTATGATAGAAAATATAGTAATATATTATATAACAGAAAACACGTTAGACAAACGATTTTTTTTTATAAATATATCCGCCCAGAGAGAAGTAAAACGAAGCGGTGAGTCAAGATCATGAGCACAGCACGGTACAGTGCGGCACAGCAAGGCAAGGACAAGAGCGTTGATTTCTTGATATATATATATTTATTTTTTATTAATAAATATAAAACGCTTCCAAACAGTGAAATCACAAATTGCCTCTTATATTTACTTTTTCGCTTAAAATGGATACTGATCTAATCTAAAATGCAATAATAAAAAGGTAAAGGCAAGCTTGCGTCTCACGAATTTGAAAGAGTAAGATTATACAAAATAAAGAATAATTTTAAATTATGACATGTGAATAAACATTAAGTTTTACATGTGAATAAACATTTTAACATTTTAAGTTTCATAATGGTGTTGAATCATCCTTCTAGAATTCGAACTCTATGCAGGATCTTTGCACTCTTTCTACTACTCTATTTTTTTTTTTACTTTCATTATTTGATAAAATAACTATTCCTTATAGTATCTCAGAATATTTATTAAACAGAAAGCTTGCATCACTCTTTCCGTTTTTTACATGGTTAATTGAAATTAACTTGCGAATAGTTCTATGCTATTCCATTTTACAATAAGTTAATAAAGCTAATCTTTTTTTTTGAATTTTTGTTCAAATCTTAATTAATGTATAATTTGTAAAAAAAAAAAAAAAAACAAATCAATTTTTTTATTGTTCCATTCAATAATATGAATAATTATTTATATATATATAATAATAATAATAATGTGAATATAATGCGAATATAATACAATTATAATGTATTAAACAGTGAGATAGAATATAAAGATTTATTTGATTGCATGCACGACAGTTACTGGAACTATAAAAAAAAAAATAAGTAAATTAAATAAATGAATAAATAAATTATTTAAATAATTCGCGATAAAAACTGAAAATGAATTTTTCGATACTCACCAACAATAATAATAATAACGATAAGAAAACCCGTAAATGCAAAAAAAAACCAACTTCTTTTCGTGATATCCTTATACCAAGGACCTTGATGTTTCCATGGTAAAGAAATTTCTTCTACACTACGTGTTTCAGAAGTTACAAATTCCAAATCATTTTGAAATTTATCATAATTATTATAATTACTACCACCGGCTTCTAAATCATATGTTACTGATTCCTGATTACTATCATTGTTTCGATATTTATTTAATTCTGAATAAATATTAAGATGGTATTAAGAAGGAATTGAATTGCGAAACAATAATAATATATAATAATTTTTTTTTTAAAAAAAAAAGATATAAAAAAATGGAAAATTTTTATGGAAAAAACTGGTTAGAATTAATAATTCATTCATTTGAATAAAATGAAACGATAACAATATTCATCAATATATAGTAACATCTTTTAATCTTCTATTCTTATTTGAATTACCGTGATTCTTTTTATCTATTTTAAATTGCAAAGTTTTCTCTTCACTTGGATTTATATCACGTGAAGTGCTTTCTTTGTTTTCATCGAGAACCTCAGACATTTTTATTTTAAAAAAATTTAAATTAAAAAATTAAAAATGGTCCGGGAAAGAAGATATGTGAGAAATGAAAAAATGCGAAAAATAAATAATGACCTCATATTTATAATGAATTTCACCAAATATAGAAATGGCATCAGAATTTTCGGTATTACGTGACAGACAGCATCGTATTACAAAGACTAGTGACATGCCTTTACATATGCATAATCATCTGAGAAATAGTCACATCCGAATATTACGATATTTGAAAGAATGGAACATTCAAATTTTTTGGATGAATATGATATGGAACCATTTGAAAATAAAATTGATTAATATATTAAGAGCCTCGAGGCAATTGGAAGGTAATATGAAAAAAAGAGGCTCAATATGTACAAGAGGAACGAAAAGGTAAGTTGGAGCTTTTTATATTCACATTTCTACTTAAGGCATGTGTTGCGTTTTCTTTCTTGATACTGACCTTTGTTGATTTTCTAGGTTATTCTGCGTCTAAAGGCTTTACCCAAACCAGCAGTAATTCTTTATTAAGAACATTGTTCTTTTTATATACTAAGATAATGGATGTGATCATTAAGTTGCAAGAAGTTGGAATAATTGAAGATCTCAAAACAAGATATATTTTACCAACCAACAATAATATCAATAATTTACAAAGGTGGAACTTTTGTTTCTGGATAATCTGTATTCAAAAGAAGTCAGAAGTTACAGATATACATTCTTTTATTCTCAGTAGAGTTATTTAATGTTAGTATTATTCTTATGGTATAATTATAATTTGACTTTGCACTTCTGTAAGATTTGGGGCTTTGAAAGAATTTATTGATTTTGTCATCCAATGGTTACAAATACACATGAGATGTAATTGATATTGATGAAAAAGATAAAGAAATAGGTGAATTAAGTTAAAAATATGTTCAACATAAATGAAAAAAAGAAAAGAAATGAGGTCCTGCCAAACAACCTATCTTATACAACCCAATATTTGAAATCAAGAAAGTGTGTCGAAGGTGAGTTTGGCCTTTGTAAAATAATTTGAACAGTATGTAAATATATTTGTTGTTATGAAATTTCTGATCTTGAATAATACAATTATTACATATCAGGTTGAAATGTGGTTTAATAAAAAAAGAATTCTTATTCATAACACAAATTGAAAATCATATAAACTTTTAACTCTATTTTTAAAGTTTAGATCAGATCTATAAAAAACTTTAGTATAAAATTTTTCAAAAAAGAAATAAATAATTTTGTCATAGACCTTCAACATTTAAATCATTATCTGGTTTTAAGAATTTCAGTTAAAGGTCTTATTTTATTTTTTAAAAATATATTATAGATTTTTTTCTTCAAAATTCAAAATTGTTATTTTTGCTTTATATATTTTCTTTACTAAAGAATCAATTTTTAAATTTCTTTATATCTGGAATATTGTTTCTAAGGTAAAATGCTGAATTTTTTTGTGGTAAATTTTTTTAATATGATTTTGACAATTAATTAAACATTGTTCTCTGAATGGTATCTAATAAATGAATAAATTAGTATTATATTATAAAATAATAATAATATAGTTATTACTTTTAAACTTACTTTCTAGAAGCTAGGTCTTATAGGATAAATGTTATCTCTTATTATTAACTATATTAATTGATGTTTACTATTGAGTTGAGATATACATTAAACCAATTTAATATAAAGTTATTTGTGTATGATGCTCTGCACTAGCATCTTGAAGAACATTTATGTAATTAAAAAAATTTTAATAATGTGCATTTAAAAGTTTTCTGTTAATCAAAATTCTTGTATTCTTGTTTTCAAAATTCAAACTTTTAGATTGATCGTTGCGCAAATCATGAAAAAATTGTAAAAAACTAACCAATTATGTATATATATAAAGAAAAAAAGAATCTACTATGTAAATCATTAAATCTTTTTAATAAAAGTTGGAAAGAGGATAAAATTTTATTATGCTAATGCTGAAAAAATCAAAAAAAAATATTTGTTTTCTTTTTCATTTAGTTTTATAAGGATGGAAATTGGATCTTTCATATCATATCACATAAAATGAAATGTAAAAAAGTATTGATCTACACTACAACATTTAACTTTAACTGTCATTGTTAAAATAACAAATATTTGTAAATATGTATCCAGGACAAAAGTATAACCAGTTGTATGGTTCAAGTGAAAATTCTTCTCAACCACCACCACAACAATATGCACAATATCCGCAACATCCACAATATCCACCACCGCAACAACCTCATTATCCACAACAACCTCAATATCCACCACCACCATCACAATCTCAATATCCACCACCACCACCACAATCTCAATATACACCACCACCACCACAACAATCTCAATATCCGCCACCACCACCACAACAGTCTCCTTATTATCAACCACCACAATATCCTTCCCCTCAATCATATTATCCTCCTCCTTCAGGTGCTCCACCTTCACAGAATAATCTGAATAGTTATGCTCCTCCCCCCGGTCCTCCACCAAAGAATAAATATGGTCCCCCTCCCGGACTTCCATCAGGGCCAGGAAACTATCCTCCTTCTTCCCAGTCCTCTATTCCTCCTAATTCATATCAGTCACCTAATGTTCCTCCTCCTCATTCAGGAAATACTCATTATGGCGGACAAAATTATCAGTTATCAAATTGTTCAGGACGAAAAAGAGCTTTATTAATTGGAATTAATTATTTTAATACTAACTTTGAATTAAAAGGTAAATTTTCTCTTTCTCTGTTTTTATTCATTTTGTTTGTTTGTTTTATTTCTCTAACTTCTTTTTATTTATTTTATTTTTATTTATTTATTAAAAAAAATTATAAAATATGATTATTAGGATGCATTAACGATGTCGTAAATATAAAGAATTTTTTGATTAAATTTTATAAATTTAGAGCAGAAGATATGGTTGTTCTGACAGATGATCAGAGAGATCCAAGGAAAATTCCCAATAGATACAATATTTTGACAGCTATGAAATGGTTAGTGAGAGATGCGAGAGTAAATGATTCGTAGGTTTATCCCAATATTTAATTATTAAAATGTTATCTTTTTTTTAATATTTAAATCTAATAAAAATTTAATAATAATATAAATAATCATTTTTCATTTTTTTTTATTTCTTTTAGATTTTTTTTTCATTTTAGTGGTCATGGTGGTCAAATGAAAGATTATGATGGAGATGAAGATGATGGTTACGATGAAACCATTATGCCAATCGATTGGGAAAGTAATGGACAGATTGTTGATGATGTATAAAAAAATTTTCTATAATTCTACTACGTTATTTATATTTTATTATTTTATTATTTTTATTATTAAAACATATATATATATATTTTTTTTTTCTTTAGGAAATGAATCAAATTATGGTTCAATCACTTCCAGCTGGTATTATTTCTTAATTTAATTTAATTTTAATTTAATTTTAATTTAATAATTAATAATTTAATAACAATAATTAATTTTAGGTGCAAGATTAACAGCAATCTTTGATTCTTGTCATTCAGGAACAGCACTTGATTTACCATACGTATATTCAACTCAAGGAATTGTTAAAGAACCTAATCTTATAAAAGATGGAGGAACTGCATTATTAAGTGCAGGAATGGCATATTTAAAAGGTGATATATCAGGAATTAGATCAACTTTAACATCATTTGGTAAAAAAGCCAAATCAGGAAAAAAAATAAAAGAGAAAAATAAAAGTCTGAAATCAAGTAACGCTGATGTGATTTCGCTTAGTGGGTAAGTATAACCTTAATTTTAATCTTTTAATTATAATCTTTAATTATAATCATAATAATCTTAATTATAAACCAAATTATAAAAATAGGTGTAAAGATTCTCAAACATCTGCTGATGCACATGAAGCTGGTCAAAACACTGGAGCGATGTCACATGCATTCGTTAAAGTGTAAATACGTTATCTATATTTTAATTTAATTTAATTTAATATTATTTTCGTATTTAAATAATAATTAATAATAATAATTAATAATGATAATAATAAATATTTTATTAGATTGGGAAGAAATACGAATATTTCATATCAACAATTATTAAATGGAATTAGAGATGAACTTTCTGGGAAATATACTCAGAAACCTCAACTTAGCGCGTAAGTTATTTTAATTATTATTATTAGTTATTTAATTATTATTGTTTATTTAATTATTATTGTTTTTATTTTTTAAAAATCTCATTAATTATATTATATTATATTATATCATATTGTAGATCACATCCAATGGATATGGATCTCTTGTTTGTTATGTAGTAAAAATTTAAATTTATTTGTTTTTTATTTATTTATTTCTATTTATTATATTATATCTTTGGTACCTTTTTTTTTGGACGAATTACTTTTAATTATAATTTTAAATAATTTATTTATGTATTATTTTTAATTTTGAATATTTCCAAGAAATGGATATCATGATAAAATTTTTGATCTAATTCTTTAAGTCAAAAAAAAAAAATGATTTCATCAATTCTAAATTTATAAATGGTGCTACTTTGTAATGTATATTTTTTTTTTTTTTTTAAAAAAAAAAAAGGTATTTCCCGTTGATGAGCATTTAATTATAATCTCAAAATTTGATTGATTGACCCGAAACATCCGAAACCCCTTTTGCCAGTATAATATATCAAGATTTTCTACAATAATGCAATAATGCGAAAAAAATTCTTTTGCCCTAAGCCCTAAGATAGTTAATAAAAATCGTGACAAATATCATATCTTAACCAATTAATCACGTGGAAGTAATGACATAATTATGAATGCATGTGATGAATTATTCTTTCTTAATCAAAGATAGATTATTGTTTTACATTACTGATTGACATTTATTTTATTTATTAATTTATTTGACGTTTATATTTATCTTTTATAGGGATTTTTAATCAAAAGATTATGTATATGACTAGATCACACGTGAAAAGAATTATTAATATAAAACCGTGGTTTTCCAAAATTCAAAAAATTCAAGATTGTTGTTTCTTTCTAAATATTAAAAATCAAAGGCAAAGAAATCCATTTATAAATATTAATTTCTTTGTGACAACGAATAAAACCATAATCATAAAAAATACAAATAATAATTTAAAAAATACAAATAATATCGTGAGAAATATAAATAATTTTAAAAATACAAAAAATACAAATAATATAAATAATAAATTAGAGATGGCTAGAGAAGACGCCGTTCAAAAAGAAAAGGTTGCTATCATTGGATCTGGTAATTGGTATGTTGAAAACTTTTCGATATTCTAATTTCAGTTAGATAAATATTATAAAGATTATTAATAAATATTATAAATAATTTTTCCACAAAACGAAATATGCAAACATGAAATAATAGGGGTACTGCAGCAGCAAGAATTATAAGTGGAAATGTAACGCGACACCCCAATTTTCATTCCGAAGTGAAAATGTGGGTATTTGAAGAAATTATAGAAGATCGTGCACTTACCGAGATTATCAATGAACAACATGAAAATATTAAATATCTACCTGGATTTAAAATTCCCGAAAACGTGATCGCTGATCCGGATTTGTTGAATACCGTAAGGGATGCTACTATCTTAGTATTTGTTATCCCTCATCAAGTGTGTATTTAAATATATTGTTTGTTTTACAAATTAAGAATTATATTTAATGTTTTCTAAATTTAGAATAAATTTTTTAATTTATAATTACTAATTATATTTTTAATTTTTAATTTTTTTTTTTTGATTTTTTTATTTTATTTTATGTTTAGTTTCTATATAAAGTATGTGATCAATTAAAAGGTAATATCCATCCTAAAGCTATAGGAATTAGTTTAATCAAAGGTTGTGATACAGACGAAACCGGAATTCGACCTATTTCTCTAATACTCAAAGAAGCTTTAAGAATTCATATATGTACTTTAAGTGGTGCGAATATTGCTAATGAAATTGCCGAAGGAAAATTTACCGAAACTACCATTGGTTATAAAATACGTGAAGAAGGTGAATTATTTAAGAAACTTTTCGAAACTTCTTATTATCGAGTAGGAATTATTAATGATGTAATAGGAGTAGAAATGTGTGGAGCATTAAAGAATGTAATCGCTATAGGTGCTGGTATTATTGATGGATTAAAGATGGGTAATAATACTAAAGCTGCAATTATTAGAATTGGATTATTGGAAATGAAAAAATTTATAAAAATGTTTTATAAAAATATTAAAGATGAAACATTCTTTGAAAGTTGTGGAATGGCTGACGTTATAACTAGTAGTTATGGTGGTAGAAATCGTAAAGTTGCTGAAGCTTACGTGACCACTGGCAAGGTAAAAATTATTATTCTAACTTTTATCGAAAATTATTATTATCTTTTTTTTTTTATTTTCATTTCGTTTTATTCATTTAAAAATTTAATTTATGTAATAGTCATTTGAACAATTGGAAAAAGAACTTCTCGGGGGTCAAAAATTACAAGGTACTTTAACAGCCAAAGAAGTTTGTGCGATGATATCAAGAAAGGGTCTAGAAAATGAGTTCAAATTATTCATCGCTATTTATCGAATTGCATTCGAAGGATTAGCACCCAATAAAATTTTTGATGCTATCGTTGATTAAAAAATATCATTTATAAATCTTGCTTCTTTTTCCTTTTTTATTTTTTATCTTCTATTTTCTATTTTATGTGATAGATATACTACTACTATTATTATTACTATGAATTTTTTTTATTACACAATAATAATAATAATAAATTTTGTATTGTAATTTTCAAAAATTAAATTTTTATAAATAGGTTAAAAAAAAAATGCATAATACAAAAAAAAAACAATTTAAAGTTGTATTCTTATCTAAAATTTAATGGAGCGGTTAATTAAACAATACTTGTTTCGATTGTTGATTTAGGAAATTCGTTTTAATTTAAGGAAATAAAATCTAATAATACCTAAATGTAACAAATATTCGTAACAAAATGGATAATAATTAAAAAAAAATTCTTAAAATTGATATTGTTCATCATCTGTTATTTATAAAAAATGGAATACAAGACTTGTAAGACTTATACAATGTCACAGGATGCTAAAAATGAATTCATTACAGTATTATTAAAAATGTTTGATTATAAAGTATATAATGGGATGAATATAATAAATCCATTGATAATTATTTTGTAAATATAATTTAATACAAAAAGCATTGTTTCTCGAGAAATGTGTTGTGTTTGCCTTTAATAATTCTATTTTATTTAATATCTTTATTCTCCAAAAGTATCAAATTTTTCAAATAATAATAATTCGTGTTAATCCCTTGTAAATATAAATATATTTATTAAAAAAAAAAGTGTAAACTATATTCAAAAGTATATAAAAAGTATAAAAATTATTATTAGGATAAAATACATTGCATAATTTTTTTTTTTTTTCGTTTCGCCATTTTTTTCATTTTTCTCCGAGAAAGAGTTCAACCGTTGAACGGTTGTTCTTATTTATTATATATTATATATACATTTTATTTTGTTATATTTATTTATTTATTCTTATTTTTTTTTATTTTTTTAAAAAAATTTTCCCGATTTATACCTCTTTTTTTTTTTTTTTTAACGTATTATAAAATATTTATAAGATGGAAAATGAATCGATAAAAACTGAGGAAGTTGAAGATACTGTTTCCAGTCTTCCCCAACCACAATACTCGACTGTTTCACCAAAAATTCCTCGAGAATCAGTATTCTCATATATTAGTTCTAAAACATTGGTAGATGAAAATGCTTCCTTTTCACAAATAAATTATAATCGTCGACCAAATGAAAGAAATAATGAAAATAATGAATTCACAAGAGTTGATTATTCAAAATTTACAAAGTCATCAAAAGGAAATGAAAGATCAAATTTAACGATACGAGAAGATGATGATTTTGTACTAATAGAAAATGAAAAAAAATCAAATGAAAAAAATGAAAAAAATGAAAAGGAACGAGATGATTTTATTATGGTCGATAATGATTCTGACGATGATCAACCTTATACTGGAATAAAAAAATCCATTTATACACCCGTAAAAAAACCTCCTTTAGTTACCACTCAAGTTTCGTTTTTTCACATTTTTCGTTTCGCTACTTTATTAGATTATTTTTTAATAAGTTTTGGAACATTCTTTAGTATATTTTCCGGATTAGCTATACCTTTTATGACTTACATTACTGGAAATATATTTAATATATTCACTGAAAAACAGATTGGTATAATAACCAATGAAACCTTTGACAATAAAGTAATGTTTTTAGTAAAACAATTTGCTCTATTAGGACTTATCGATTTTTTTACAATTTGGGCTATGACTTCCATTTGGAGTTGGACTGGTGAAAGGCAAGCTAGAAGGATGAGAGAAGTGTATTTTAATTCATTATTAAAGATGAAAATCAATTATTTCGAACAAACTGAAATTACTTCTGGTGGTATATTGACAAATGTCAATAAGTAAGTTTATTCTTTTTACTTCCTTTTTTTTATTATTATTATTATATAGATTTTTATAATTTATTAATTTTTATTTTTTATTTTTATTTTTATTTTTGATATTTTTTATTTTTAATAAATATAGGGATTCGGATTCAGTACACAGAGCAATTTCTGAAAATATTGGACGAATAATACAATATACTGTTACTGTTGTCGGTTGTATGGCGTTTGCTTTTGGAATACATGCCATCCTCACTCTTGTCATATTATCAACCTTGCCTTTAGTATTTTTAACTATGGCTATCACTAATCGTATTGCCAATCCATTATTATCAAAAGAACGTGAAATTTTCATAAAAGCTGGAAATGTTCTCGAAAATGCCTTAAACGTTATTAAAACCATTAAAGCATTTAATAGTGAAGAAAAAGAAGAAAAAATTCATTTAGAACATTTAAATTCTGCAAATATTGTTTCAAAAAAATTGGCTTTAACTTACGCTATATGTACTGGTATAATTCAATTTCTTTTATTGTCCTTATTTGTTCAAGGCTTTTGGTATGGTTCGGTTTTAGTAGCAAATAAGAAACTAAATGCAGGTGACGTCATCAATGTATTCTTTGCTACTTTAATGGGTGCTAGTGTCTTAAAAGGAATTTTACCAAATTTTGTGGCAATAGCTAAAGCAAAAGTTGCAATTAAATCAATAAACATTTTATTAGAAAAAGTCGCATTATTGGAATCAGAAGCTTTAAGAGGTTTCAAATTATCAGGAATGATAGGTGATATCGAATTTCAAGAAGTTAACTTTTCATATCCCAGTCGTCAAGATACTTTGGTATTAAAAAATGTTAACCTTTTTATACCAGCGGGACAAACTACTGTATTAGTAGGTCAAAGTGGATCAGGAAAATCAACAATTTCTCAATTAATACAACGTCTTTATGAACCAGATTCAGGATTAATTACTATAGATGGACGTGAACTTAAAATTTTAAATATATCTTGGCTTAGACAACAAATTGGGATTGTCAGTCAAGAGCCAGTTCTTTTTGATGATACCATTTTTGCCAATGTCGCATATGGTAAAGTTGATTATGAGAATGTTACACTTGATGAAGTTATTGAAGCGTGTAAATTAGCTTGTATACATGAATTTATTATGGAACTTCCTGAAAAATATGATACTCAATTAGGTGATAAAGGAGCAAAACTTTCTGGTGGTCAACGTCAAAGATTAGTTATTGCTCGTGCATTAATAAAAGATCCTACTATACTTATCTTAGATGAAGCATCAAGTGCTCTTGATATGGAATCTGATTTATTAGTTCAAAAAGCATTACAAAATTGTCGTGTTGGTAGAACTACCATTGTTATAACTCATAATATGTCACATATCAGTAAATCTGATCGTGTGTATTTATTATCCGAAGGTGAAGTTGTGGAAGGTGGAACGATATTACAACTTCTTGAAGATCCAGATGGTCATTATTCAAAACTAGTGGAGGCAACACGAAAAGAAATAAATCCTAAACGAAAAACTATTGAATTAGACGCTATTAACTTACGATTAAGAAAATCTGATAAAAATCTTAAACCATATATGGAATACGATGATGTAAAAACTGCGGATATTCTTAACGGTTCTGCATCAGTTGCTATCACAAAAAGATATGAAAAGAGAGTATCTTATTATGAAATTTTCAATTATTATGATTATGAAAATATAGAAAATGAAATTGGTAGAAATAGTAGAAATCTCATTGATATTTTGGTGACAACTTCTGATGACGAGTCCATGAAAAAAGGTCAGAAACGTAAAAGTGTTATTGAATTAGTTAAGAATACATTAGATCAAAGATTTATCTATTCACTTGGATTATTTGCTTCTATAATTAATGGTTTAATGATGCCAATATTTTCTTATGTTGTTGCTCGTTTGTTGAGTACTTATTCAATTACGAATAAAGATGAATTATTAAAACAAGCTAGATTTTTTGCATTAATAGTAATTGCTATTGCTATAATTAATGGTTTATCAGCACATTATAAGTATTACTTTTTAGAAAGAGCATCAGAACTTTGGTCTACTAAATTAAGACATTTGGGATTTGGGAAAATATTACGACAACCACAATCATGGTTTGACAAGTCAGAAAATGCCGTTGGATTAATTGCAACCATACTTATTACTGATACGAGTACAACAAAAAATCTTATTGGTCATTTTTTAGGAAATTTGACTGTTGGTATAATAGCTTTAGTAGGTGGTATAGTTTGGGCATTCTTCATTGGATGGGAATTAACATTAGTAGGATGTGCATTGGCTCCAATATTAGTATTAACCACCGAAATTCAAGGATATATATTACAAAGATATGAAAAAAAACAAAAACATGCAAGCGAAGCAGCAGCAAATTCTTTTTATCAAACAATTTCAAGTATCCGAACAGTGTTTGCTCTTGCTGTTGAAAATGTTATGACCGTAAAATTCCAAACTGCTCTTGTAATACCTTATAAAATTGGAATTAAAAAAGCATTCATTAGTGGATTCATTGCTGGTTTATTGGACGCATTTTTATTTTTTTCCAAGGCATTGACGTTTTGGTATGGAGCTAAACTTGTTTCCCAAGGTTCATACGATTTACAGAAGATGGTTACGGTATGGTCGTTAATCATTTTCTGTACATCAGCAGCATCACAAATGCTTAGTACAATTCCATATTATTCCCAAAGCAAACAGGCAGCCAAATCAATTTCTAAAATCATAAATTTACCTATAGAAGATGCTACTAATGGAATTTCTCTTGATAATATAAAAGGAAATATAAAATTAGAAGAGGTTCAATTCTCATATCCGGAAAGACCTGATGTATCAGTATTAAATGGATTTAATCTTAATATTAAATCAGGTGAATCCATAGCATTAGTAGGAAAAAGTGGTAATGGTAAATCTACAGTAGCAACATTATTACAAAGATTTTATGAACCTACCAATGGAGAAATTTTACTTGATGATGTAAAATTCAAAGACCTTAAATTACAATGGTTACGTGAACAAATTGGTATAGTCAGTCAAGAACCCATATTATTTGATAATACTGTATCAGAAAATATTGCATATGGTAAATCAAATTCTACACAGGAAGAAATTGAATTAGCAGCTCAACAAGTAAATATGCATGATTTCATAAAATCTTTACCCAAAGGATATAATACACATTTAGGTTCGAGTGGTTCACAACTTAGTGGTGGTCAAAAACAGAGAATTTCTATAGCACGAGTATTAATACGGAATCCCAAGATATTAATATTAGATGAAGCTACTAGTGCACTAGATACAGAAAATGAAAAAATTGTGAATGAAACATTGAAAAAAGTACAAAAAGGTCGAACCACTTTGGTAATTACTCATAGATTGAATAATGTTCAAAATATGGATAAGATAGCATTAGTTGAGGATGGAAAAGTTTCAGAATTTGGAACACATCAAGAGTTAATGAGGAATAAAAGTGGATACTTTAAACTTTTTGTTAGTGGAAATAATTAATTTTTGTCTCTTTAACTTGCTTGGTAAATATTCAAAAAACATTGTGTACATGATTAACAATAATGGAAAACATCAAAATTTAATTTATTATATAATAATAAATTTCAAAACAAAATTACCTTAACATTTTTAACATTTTTATTTAATTCCTATTTTCTATTTGTCTATTTTTATTTTGAATTATTGAAAATTAATTTTTGTAAATTTAATTATGTAAATACTTTAACAGTTAATAAATTAATTTTTTTATATTTTTATATTTGATGATTTAATGTCATGTGTTTATTGAAAATCGTATCTTTTGATAATCACCACGTTTTTATTAATATATCTATTAAATATATTCTATATTTGGGAATTTTTAATATAATAAATAATGATAAAGACAATAGATTATGTAAACTTCCAATGATAAATTTTTTTGTTTGTTGGACAAAATAAATAAAAATATGTTTGTTATACATTGGCATGTAATTGCTATTATAGTTTTTTTCTATGTTTCATACATGTATAATTTATTAAAATGTTGTACTCGTAATTATTATATTAATTACATCCTTTATCTGAACAAAATCAAGAATTCTCCTCTCTTTATATAATTTAATCCAGGTTTCAAGTTATTAGCGTCCCCCCCCATTTTTAAATTATAATTCTTTAATATCACAAGGGATTTGAATTATAATTCGTCCCTCCCACAATTTATTCGCATCTTTGTTATGAATTAAAGTGTAACTAACACCTGCATTTTATAAATATGTACTTAATTAATTTAATGAAAATTTTTTTATATAACCGTATCCCCTTTCTCATTAGCGAAAATAATCTACCCTTCAAGAGATAAATATTTCTATTCTAGAAGTTAGAAATTTTTTTATCTCATTTCCCTCCTCTTTTCTTCCGCCACCACCATCACCACCACAAAAATTTAATGCTTTTCTCGCTTAAATTTTTGTGAATTCCCACACTCTCTCGCCTCAAATACATACATTTCTTGCGTTCACTATACTACTATAGTTTACTTTAAAATAGAACAATTTCATTTGTAAAAATATATTTTATTAATTAGTTCAAACAAATACATCATCTCATCATATTACATAATAATAACTTTAAATTCCTTCATAATCTTATACATTTTTAAAGATAAAATGAATTACTTCGTTCTTATAGCAGCTATAATATTACTTGCTAGCACAAGTATAAATGGCTTGCCACTTCAAAAGCGACGATTCTCGGGTGAAGCGACCTATTACACGCCAGGACTAGGTGCTTGCGGTGGACATAATTCAGATGGCGACTTTATATGTGCATTGGTAAGATATTATTGAATGATTGTATTCTTGTAATCTACTGTTGTATTAACAATATTAATATTTTAAACTTGTAACCTTCATAGAACACTCCGCAATTCAATAATGGAGGAAATCCTAATAGCAATCCATTATGTGGTAAACGAATTTCTGTTACAGGACCAAAGGGTACTGTGGTAGTAACAATTGTAGATGCGGTATGAATAAATTATTTTTAAATTTTTAATATTTATAAAAAATGCGTTCTACCAAATTATTTCTAAAAATATTATTTTAAAATTTCTTTAGTGCCCTGGTTGTGCTTTTGGTTGTGTTGATTTATCTCCAGGTTAGTTTATAATTGGATCTTCCTATTCCTTTTTTTTTTGTTAGATAATATGATTTTCTAAAAGTAAATTCATTTTTAAATCCATAATCTAGCTGCATTTCAACAAATTGCTGAAATGAGTCAGGGTCGCGTACCAATTAGCTGGGATTTCGTAGGTGGAGGAGGTCCACCACCACCACCACCACCACCACCACCACCTCCACCTCCTTCTCCTACTAAGGAAAAGGAAAAGGAAACTCCCATCACCACTAGTACTGAGGAAAAGGAAACTCCCATCACCACTAGTACCGAGGAAAAGGAAACGCCCATCATCACTAGTACTGAGGAAATGGAAACTCCCACCACTTCTAGCACTAGCACAACTCCCACCACTTCTAGCACTAGCACAACTCCCACCACTTCTAGCACTAGCACAACTTCAACCACCTCAATCAATAATAAAATCCCGATCACCCCCTCACCTACAACTGAAGAACCAACTGAAGAACCGACTGAAGAACCGACTGAAGAAACAACTACAACAAATAAAAATATAAAACCAACACCAGCCAAAGAGACAACAACTAAAGATGAAGATGAAGAAGCAACTACAACAACTAAAAATACAAATCATAAAGAGACTTCGACAACTTTAACTGTTTCAAATTATGGCCTTCCATTTTTTGATGGAAAAGTGCCCTTTAAAAATCCAAAAATCAAATTACCAAACGGAAAAAATCCTTTTAAACATTTCAGCAATATCGTTATTCCTTTGCCTAAAACGACATTAACTTTGACTATCGATCCGGATTCTCCTTTGGCCACAGAAACAACTACTTGCACATCATCCGTATTACCAAACAAATAGCAAAAGAGAAGTTACCAATGTTGTTGTTGGAAAGACTACAAAAGTCTATAGTGTACCCACGTAGAAATCGAAGAAATCGAGACCGAGATTACAAATAATTTTGTCAAGTCCCACTGGCACTTTTGACATTGCAGATCTTGAAAGTTCCACGTAGAATTTAATTAGCATTAACTATTTAAGCTTTTTATTTTTTCCTCTGTATTTTTTTTTTTGTATTCTTAAAATGTAAAAAATAATTTAATAATTTAATTCCCGACTATGATCTCGATTAAAAATTGTATATCTTATCTTCAAATAACTCTAATAAAAATAAGTAAATTTTTGTTTGACAAATTCACATAATTGATTTCGTAATTATTATGTAAAAAAAAAAAAGTGGACGAGAAAATATTTTATAGATCTTTATAGAGCGCTCAACTTCAAATTATTTACTTTTTAGGAAGAAAACTTTGCCATTTTTATTGGAAAAAAATTTTTTGATAATTTAAAATTAAAAAAATTTTTTCGTTTTTTATAATTCTTAATTTTCTGTAATACTAAAAATTTGTCTAATTCTTCGTCCAGTTAATTTTATCAAAGTTTTTTCAGGATCATTTTGAACAACTGGATTTTCCAATTCATTAAAATAATAAGCGAGAGTTCCCGTAAATATCGCTAAACCAATATCACCTCGTCTTTAATGAAAAAAAAAAATAATATATGATTATTGTCATTATTGTCATTATTGTTATTATTATTATTATTATTCATAATTATTTGTTCATTATTATATTGTTTAATTTACCGTGATATAAAATATTTATATCGAGCAGGTGGTGGTACTGGAATTATTGGCATTGTATCGTTTAATTTTTATTTCATCTGTAAAAGAGAGCTTTGAGATGGACAACAAAAATTTTATGATATTATCCAATCAAATGATTCTTATGAATCACGAGACTATGCATATGATTTGTCAAAATAAATTGAAAATTTTTTTATTGGATTTTTTTTTACTAATTATTGTAAGTTATGAAGTCATGATATAATAAGAGTAATACTGATTGATTATAATTATAAAAAGGAAATGGATAATCAATCATAAAACTTGAATCACAAGCTTAATTGTAAATAATCTATTTTTTTTTTTTAGAAAATGCAAAATTACAAGGTAAAGGTGTGCATATGAAATAATTTGTCAAAGTCGATATTTTTTTTTTTTTTAAAAAAAAAAAAATTCCAACCCTATATAGATATTGTGTTAACATCATTTTCATTTCTTTTCTTCATCATAAGAATCATCATCATCCGAATTATTTTCTTCATCACAATAATCATCTTCATCATTTTCATCATTTTCTATATAAATAAATGTCATTTCCCTCCTAGGATATTTCACTTCCCTATTAATATATTTAACAAATCTTGTTGTACCTTCATCTCTAACTACAATACTTAATGTATTCCTCTTTGGCCAAAGTGTTAATAATTCTTCTTCATTTGCTACATAATGAGTACCACCTTGCCATTCGGGGTTCCAATTTTCATCCTCAATACAATATAACACTATATCTAATCCTTCATGATCTAACGCTTGATCATGTATCATTGTATAATTCCCAGGTAAAAACTGACGAATTTCTGAGGATAAAGAAGAAATTTCATATCTTGTAATTTCAGAAAGGTAAGCGGTAAATATTGTTGAAGTAAAGAAATTATAAATAAATTGATGAAATGATTGAGATACAACAGTTTTTTCATTATTTATAAGATGATATCGTCTAATAAAAGGTGGTCCGATAGGGTTTTCTTCCCACTTAGCATTATTTAAGCTATCCATTAATTTTTGATAAACTTCTTCTTTGAGAAATTGTTGCAACTCAATTGAAGCTTCACGTCTAAGTACTTTTAAAATTTTCTTTTTTCCTTGTTTAGTTAAATAAATTGGATTTACCAAATCATTTATAGTAGGATGTTGATTATAAAAATTATTATCAAGTGACTGTGGAAAAGAAGTTGGAGAATTAAATTTTGCATTGGATAATCGTGTTCGTAAAGAACCATGAAACCAACCAGAAATCGAAAGACGTGTTTTGGATTTGGTCAAAACTTCCGAAACTTGATGATATGATGTTGGGCTTAATTCAAAAAATGCCATAGAATTCCATTTAGGAATTATGGATTGAACAATTTCTTTTGGTTGTCCTAATTCATCACTATAATGATTTTAAAAATTATTATTATTTTTATCGTACAATTCTAATATAATAATAATAATAATAATAATAATAATAAAAAGGTTAAAAAATTTCGCGAAAAACTTACATATCAAAAAATTCTAAAGCTCCTCCATCTTCTTTGGTCCAATTTTCATCAACTAAATAAAAAATAAAAGCAATCCTTCTACCATGCGAAGAATCATCATCTTTAATATCATCATCATGACACAACAAGTAATTTCCATATGCATATTGATGTGCAGATAAATCTGGTGTATTGTCTAACTTAATTCCAGTTAATTCTGATATTAATTGAATAAATTGAGGTGAATAAATTGTTTCTCTTAATTTAATCAAGTCCGGTTCTAATGAATTCTTTAGATCATCACTTTGATAGAATTCATATAGGTCATTGGATTTTTTATTATAAATTGTTCCTTTTTCTAAGATCCATTTAACAGATTTAAGAAATTCTATGGAAAAAATATTCTCAAGGATAAATATTGGGTAAGGTTTTTCGATTATAGTAGCAAAATTGTCTTTACAGGGAAGACGTTTACGAAATGCTGTGTTAAAAGTAGAAATGAAATCAGGTTTGGTGTAATGTTGGTTAAAAAACTCTTCAAATGGTTGATTTAGATAAGTATCATTTTTAATAATTGAGGATTCTGATAACTTTTGTTTTTTGTTTTTAGTAATTGAATTATCGATGAGTTCATGCTTTTTCATGAATGAAAACTTTACAGATCTTTTAAAAAAGATAATCTTATAATAAGTTAAAATATTAATATTGAATTGTGTACGTGTCACAATTCTCGAAAAAAAAAAGAAATCTTAACTAATATGTAAATTGTCAGAATTGTTGAAATTGATACATTAAAATAATATAATTCAATGTAACTAATTACAGTAATTTTCATGGGAATCTAGTTTCACAAAACGGTCAAAACTCTTTGATAAAAGAAACTCTATATGTATTCACACCTTTTCTCTTGATTTTTACAGTAATGTTTCAACGATCTACTACAATAATTATTATACACAGTAACTCTTGATAAGTCTCTCCCGATAGTCTTTCTCGATAGTTTCTCTTCATATTGTGAACTATCGATAAAAGAAATCTTATGAAATTTTTTACTTTGTTAAACCTCGAATTCTAAAAAAAATCCATCAAGAATCATTCTTATATAAAGAATCATTCTTAGATATAATTAGCGAATTTTAAAAAATTGGCCTAATGGTTTCGAGGTTTATCACAAGAGGAGCTGTGTTATCATTCTTTTAAATACTTGGCAAATTTTTTTTTTCCTTTCATTTTATAAATTAATAAAAATTAACTTACACTCCTTTCCCCCCGTTTGCATTTTTATTATTATTATTATTATTATTATTATTACTATTATTATTATTATTATTATTTCTTTCTTTCTTTCTTTCTTAAAATACTATGCCTGTACCAATATTACCTGATGATTGTATCGTAAACATTTTAGAACAATTGGAATATGACAAGTCAACACTTTATAGATGCCTCTTTGTCAATCGTTTTTGGTGCATATATGCTGTTCGTTTACTTTGGCATCGTCCTTTTTCAAGTTCACATCGTGATAAACATTATATGATTATTAAAACATATCTTTCATTTTTCAATGAATCGGAACAAAAAAGTCTTATACCTTTCAACATTACTGTCGACTATCAAATTCAACAATCTCCTCCATTATTTCCTTATGCTAAATATTTAGAAGAATTTTCTGATTTGGATTTTGGATTATCAATTGAAGTTTTCTTGAGTAATAGTGATGGACAAAGTAATTGGAGTGATCGTAGAGTAGATGCAATTTTGATATCTCTTTGGCGTATGTTAATGCGTCATTGCGTTAAGATAAAATCGATGAAGATTAGACCAAGTTTATTTCTTTATGGATTTGATGGTCCTGATATTGAAAGTATAATGCATACCAAATCAGCTTTTGATCATTTACGAGAGTTTGATTTTTATGTGGATGAATATTATGATGGAACTTTTTCTCGAACAATCGACTTAATTCAAAAGCTTCCATCTTTATGTTCTGGCATTAAGAAAATGTCAATTTGTCTTGAAGAGGATCCTGCATATGAAATTGAATTTGAAGAGGAAGCATGTTGGATAGCTGAAATAATTGAAGCACAACATAACATTGTTGATTTTAAATTTTCTGCATCTAAAAACATGCGTACTGTTAATATCGTTTCTTCTGCACTAGTGAAAAATGTAAATAGATTAACATCTTTATCATTTATCGGTATAAATTTTAATGGAATATCTTTAAAATTATTATCAAATCTTCAATGTTTGGAACGATTGGTATTTTCAATTTGTTCAGGACTTACTCAAACACATGTACATTCCTTTCCACAAACTTTAAAACTTCAAGAGCTAAGATTGGATAGAAATGAATGGGTGAATGAGGTGGATGTTGGATTAATCCAAAAATGTAAATCATTATCAAAAATTGTAATAAATAATCTTACAACGGAAAAGATTGCTGCCGCAAGAAATTCCACCAATATTAAGGATGTAACTGTTGAAATGAAGTCAGTTAACTTTTTGGAAGAATTTTTCAAATGGATTCGACAATATAAGATGTTAGTTAAACTTCATATTAAGAATAGTTATTTTAAAGGAGGAGGTCAATTTATAACAAAACTTGGAGAAATTTTACCACCTTCACTGGTTTATCTTGGATTGGTTTGCGAAGTTATTGAACCTGAGGAATTATCCGAATTCTTTAGGGAGTGTAATGCACCATTAGAAACTTTAATTATTGCACTTGATCCTTTAGGGTATGAACACCTTTCCGTGATAGAAAGTTTTGTTACTACAAGTTATACACTGAGATTATTAAGTTTGTCTAATAGATCAGATAGTGAAATTTGGGGACCTCGAGAACTAGCAGTAATTGAAAGGATTAAACAACATGGAGTAGAAATGTTTGATTATGTCTCATATAATTATTGTTTGGCAGGATGTTTTCTTTAAATTAATTTATTTATTGAGGGTAATTCAGGTAATTTATGGTATTTTATAATATTTCATTCACTCATTTAACCAATTTTTCTTTTTTATACATACCGGTATACATATACATATATTATATACGATAGAGATTTTTGGTTTTTAGATTAAATTCATGCTATTTATTTGTATTTTACGTTCGCTTTAAAAAATAATAATTCGACACACCGAATTCATCATTATCCTTTCACAGTAAAGAATTTTTAATATAATACAATTGTAATTAATCAGGTGTTTGATAAAAATGTATTCTGTTTTGGCAATTTGATTATCTCGTGATTGATTATGCATTCAGATTTCTATTGGCCTAATCGCGTTTTTATACATCACCAGTTTTTTTTTAACTTGACAAATTAATTATCAGATGACTCAAATTGCATTTTTCTATTTCATACACTCGATTTTTCATGGACTTTTTTTTTTAAACTTGCTATCGGGATGAAACACATATAATTTTGTAGCCAAGAACAAGACAGCTTTCTATATTAGAAATACCTTAGTAGAAAATCGCTCTACGCTTCGCAAATCGCGGGCGAAGTCGAAAAATGATAAAAAAAAAAAAAAAAAATAGAAATTTTGCGTTTTTTTTTTTTTTTACGTTTTTTCGACTTTTCTCGTGATTGCGAAGCATAGAATGATTTTCTACCAAGGTATTAGAAACATATTAGTAGAAAATCGCTCTACGCTTTGTAAATCGCGAGCGAAGTCGAAAAACGTAAAAATCCTCCGAAGGCTTTCGCTAGCAACGAAAATCCTCAGGAGGCCTTCGCCTATTAAAATTTACTGATGGAGTACAGGTCGCAGGTAAAAAAATGTGCCCAAGTGTTCTTATTAGAGATATGAGTGAGATTAATAGATATTACAACCTCTACGAATCTGAACTTCTATTGTCTTAAAATTTGTAGACTCTATTAATATTACATAATATTTTATTAGTTAACATGTCTCTGCTATACAATGCCTTTGCCTAGATCAATTAGACGTATAGAAGATAGTTCCACGGTTTCTTCCCTCCAAGTTCACCATCTTCTCTGAAAAAAAGAAAATCATTTATATCAGACGAATAATTTTTTATATTTTTACCTGTATTTTATTTTTATTTTTACCACATCAATAAAGCTAGCCTTGGTGGTAAGATTTTGTATTTATGATGCATTTATTTTTACATGTTTCTGAAATTTTGTTTCAATATGATCAAGAATTTTTCTTGATGGAAGTGATCGGCGGAACAATTTATCGTGTACACGTAATTGAGCAATGTTATATCATTGAGGTAAGTATATCTACTGAAGAAATAAATTGCCAGAAACTAATGCAAAGGTAAGTATACATATCAGTTGAACCAATAGAAACAAATTCAAAAAAATTACTGGAAATCGTGGTAAGTGTACCCGCTGAAGAGATTGCATCTAATCGTCTCTCTAATTCTCCAAGTTTTAATATAATATTTTCTGATGATGAATATGCAGGTTATTACTATTATTTATAATCATTAGAATGTATACGTGATATAGTACATATTAACTTTAATAAAATCTGAATTCGAATAAATAAATAAATATATATATATTTACTGCATATTTACGTTAATACCTGTTATAACATTTTTTCTCATAAAAATACAATATAAAAGCCTGCCTATATAGAATGAATCGTGGAACAGAAACAAAGAGGAAGGAATAAAGCATGAAAACATGCCAGCTAGGATCCTAAGCTAAAGAAACAAGCATTGCTTTTCCTCCTTGCCTTATTTAGTAACGTCGGATTTTCTTTTTACGTGATAATAATAATAAAGTTTACGCATTTATTTCTGCGCAAATATGTTTTTTCCTCGTTTTCCTCACAATTTTTAAAAAGCAACTTGAATGAACAGAGAAATAGTCAGTTAAGAAATTGGATTTTGTTCTCTAAAAAATTTCCTTGCAAAAATTTTGGTACACGCAACTTTGTCTGGTGTGTTGCGATTTTAGTAGATCAGTCACGTTATATTGAATTTTTTTTTTTGAAAAACATAACATAAAATTTACAAAATGATGGAAATAGACTACGTCGACCTTGCCACAATGAGGTATAGAGGTTCTTTCTCATATATTAATGACAACAGAAGAGTTGTCAGAATAAACAACAACACCGAATTAAAGATCGAATCATTAGGCCAAGGTGTTGCCAGAATTTAATTTGTAAATAGACATAATAATTCTATTCAAGTCTCTAACGGCTTTACTCTCTGGGATACCATTAGAAATACTAACGTACTACAAAATATCATCAATGGATATAGTAGTTTTTTTATAAATTAGACCAACAGCTATGTGTTGTTCCAAAATGGTGTTAAAGTTCTTAGTTTACGAAATCAGATGCAACAATCATTGGAAGGTGTAGATTGGTTTGAATATGATGTAGAAATGAGCTCTTAAAAATTTTAAAATACATTTGATAGATGTATTTGAATATTCTCTATATCAAATTTTACATAATTTGTTCTTAAAAGCTATGAATAATATTGGGCTTTTACAAATTTAAAAAAGATTTGTGTGTATTCAGTTATTTTACTAAATAGATGCATACGTAATTAATAAAATGAAATCGACTCTTAGGGTTTTTATATCATAATAATGACAAGATCTATTTTAATTACCAAGTGAACAAAAAATTAAATGCTTTAGATACCCTGATAAAACATTTGCTTAAAATTGAATAAAAAAAATTCAAGTAGTACTGTTGACTACTACTTACAATATTCCCTAAAAATAATTCTATGATTAAGACCCAAATATCACTTACCGACTGTTTCATGAATAAGACTCGGTGGCTAATTTATCATATATAATTGGTTTACTTTTGCGTGTGTATTTCAGGATTTATTTTATTGTATTGATATCGATTTTACATATGATCGAAAATGTTTTTTATTATAATCTTTATGCTAATAAACTTAATTTTGAATATATGAATATACCATTACTAATGTACGGACCCAACATTTATTTCAGCGATCCGGTTAGTCCTTTTTTACTTTACAATGAAAGATTTACAAACTAATGATCCGATTATAGATAATTTGGATTACGATTTAAAATACACGAAATTTTGTCTCACTTACACCCTCACCTAATTTCCTAAAATTTAATTCCCTGAAATCTTCTATGCTCAAATGTAGAAGAAAATAAAAAAGGAATCCACATGGTAAGACATAATGAATCTAATGAAAAAAGAAACAGTAGTAAGAAAAGACATATTAATGTCATCTTTTGATTTCGTCCTAAAACCTCCATAATAATATTATGTACATTGATCCAAGATACAATTAATACTATTATTGTTAAATTTAAATATAGTTTATTATTGATTCAATTGATTTTTTCAAATTTGAGATAACTGCTCTTAACGAATTGACTCCTAAATAAAACAAATCGGAATTTCATATGAAGTTTATAATATGTGTTATTATGTTTTATGATAGTATTTTACATTATATGAGCTGTCCCGTTCAGAGTTCTATTTACATAAGACAAATTTTTGAGTACCCTATAATATTCTCAGATTGAATAGTCTTATCTGATTTTGAAATATTTTCCATCACGTTCAAACAAAATCACACAAAAATTGAATCTTGTAATATACATATATAATTGGTAATATATGGTGATGGAACAATTATCCAACATAATTATTTTATGTTCTGATTGGTCAGAATTTTCTAATGAAAAAATTATTATTTTTTAGAAGAGTGCAGTCAGGTGATAATAAAAACAAAATACAATTGAAAAAAAATATTTAATAATATTATATGCGCTATGTCTGATGACGGTTGTGATTTGTAATAAGATTAACCACGGGAGAGGTTTTAATAAATTTATTTGCTTTTGATGAGATACATATTTGTTAAGATTTTCATAACTCCTCAATACAGTCAACTTTCTATAAGTGCACACAACTATAAGAGCACACTCTCTTTAAATGCATTCTCAAACACATAGTAAACTTTTCTCTCTATAAATGAACTCACTCCATAAATGCATACTAATACTGGTTCCTGAGGGGGATGCATTTGTAGAGAGTTGACTGTAAAGAAGAATTATTTGCAAAAAGTGTTCCCAATTATATAATATTCAAAAAGAACATTGAAAAACTTTGTAATTTGAAAGTCAAATAACATTCGAAATATCGTTGATTCATAGTTACACAAAAATTAACTGACTTAGAACAAGTCAGCAATCACAGATTAACCAAAAAAATTAATATACGTTAAGGTTTATTACTGGTTTATATTATATATACAACAAATTTTTTAATATTTTTAATTTCGAAAAAAAGGAAATATAATAATAATATATCCTAAATAGTAAATCCATTTTATTTTCTCTCTTTATTTGTTTCTTCTTCTTTCACGGATGTAAATTTATACATAAGAATTAAATTTTTGTTTAATACTTGATTTGTTGTTGAATTTTTTTTAATTACCTATGAAAAAGAAGAAATGTTATATAAGCCCAAAATAAATAAAAAATACTATAAAAGAGTAAAAAATTAATTAAAGAAGTATAAGATAATATCCGATACACAAAAGGTACAAATGTTACAAATATACAAAAAATGTAATGCATATAGAACCTTGTTTTGTTTAAACAGAAAAGGAATACTTAATAAAATTATTTAAAATTATTTAAAATTATTTAAAAATTTCGTACATTATAAAAAGTTACGGATAATTATGTTTTCAAGTTTTTTTGTGAGGCTTACGAAGACAAACCACCACCACCACCACCACCACCACCGCAATCATCACAATCACCAAAATCACCACAACAATAACAAAAAGTTAAATGAATCTCACGGAAATTACATAAATTTTACATAATATACCATACAAAACTTGCATTAAACCACATCTAAACTTATCTAAACCACATTAAACCACAATAAAACAGTCGAATTGAAATAACATTGACTGCAACACGTGTTTATTGAGTTTCAGATGAAAGAAATAAAAAAAAAAAAAAAAAATACCCCACACAACCAAGAACAAAGACCACTTTTTTTTTTTTTGATTACTATTAATATTTCTTTATATGTATATATACATATATATAAATGTATACCTGTATCGTCCGTCGCAGGGTTCGCAGGTAACTTGACTAAAAATTCATTTTTCCTAATTCTATTAGTTATAATATCATCATTTATAAATGATATATCGTAAAATTTATATAAAAGGTTAAAATAATTATTAATAACAATATGGCATGTATAATAAATAATATAATTTATACATCTACATATAATTCATTTATATTATAGCAAAAAGAATAAGAACAAATTCGATATTATAGAAGCGGACATTATTCTTCTTTAGGTAAAGCCAAAGCCATATATACAACATACGATTTTATGTATGTATGTATGTATGTATATATGTATCTATCTACTCCATTATGTATCCATTATTACATATATACATTTCTATTCGAGTTTTATTTGAGTTTATTTTAGAATTTATTATTTTTCCACAATTTCATCTTCTTTCTTTTCTTTCTTTTCTTTCTTTTCTTTCGTTCTTTCTTTCTTTCTTCGTGACATTCATGACATGACAATAGTGGTAATAAAATAATAATAATAACAATAAAAGTAAACATATTTATATATTTATATTGTGTACGTAACTATTTTGTTTACTGTATTTTTTTTTTACTTTATTGTTAATAAAATAAAATAAATTAAATAAAATAAAAATAAATAAAAATAAATAAAATAAATAAAATAAATAAATAAATAAATAAATAAATAAATAAAGAATTTCATTTTTGGGGCAAAGAGAATAATTGTAATAAGAATTTATTTTTAATTATTATTATTATTTTTATTATTATCTGTTCAATTATTATTATTATTATCATTATTATTATTATTATTATTAATATTTAGGAATTGTTTTCCGTATGATAATATTAATTTAGATTACACATATTACTCAACATATTGATTGTATTTTTTACTAATATATCTAAAGAAGAAGAAGAGGAAGAAAGAATGATAATACCCAAAAAAAGAAGAATAATAATAATCTAAAGAAAAGGAAAGAATGGAAAGAATATATTTAAAGAAATTCCATTTTAACAAAAATAAATAAATAAAAATAAATTATTAAAAATAATCAAAAATGAATTTATTCATTAATTTCATATATATAATTTATTCATTTTACTTCATTTTACTTTACGTTAATGGAATAGTGATTTTACCTTTTCCTAAACACCTATTACAGGTATAACTTGTATAACTTGTATGACTTGTATAACTTGTATAACTGATAACGCCAAAACAATATAACTAACGTAATAATAAAAAATCTCATTATTATTTAATGAAATCTCACATTTAACAATGAGTAGAACATTCTTGGTAAACGTGAAACTATAATAGATCATCAACTACGACATCAAAAAAAAAAAATATAAACATAACGGAGGAAACGAATATCTTTAAATAACCTTTTCCATATGAAACCGAAATTTTTCGTTACTCAAACTTCTTTTTTAATCACGTTCCTTCCATCAACAATTGATGTTACTTAAAAGAGATACAAATACTTTCTTTCTAACTTACTTACTTACTTACTCGCAGTATCTATCAGTTATTAATGTTAATCCATCTCGCAGTAGTTAAATGTTAATCCATCTCGCAATTTAAATAGTTTAAATGAGTTTATATTTAAATTTCATAATACTGCGAGTACTGCGAGGGAGTAAAGTAAGGAATAAATGAGTAATGATGACGCAGAAAATATAATTAAAATTTAAAATAATATGCATATAAACCAAATGAACAGTTAAAAAAAAAACTGTTATAATAGAAAGAACCATATTCGGACGATGGTACACGATAAAAAAAAAATAAAGTATATATAATTGACTATAATTGTACATAATAATATAATAATATGATAATAATAAATTAGTATAAAAATATATATAAACGGTATATATAACGGTATATAATAATGTTAATAACATTTATTCCGGTTATACTACACGTTACGAAAATGTTGCTTATATACATATATAGATATTATATGTGTGTTATATAGCCACCAGCGTGTAAATGTGTATTTTAATGTGTGTGTAAGGCTGATGATACAAATTGTTTTTAATTGTTTGACTAGATTGAAATTTTTATATATAAATATAAATACACATGAAATCATTCCAAAAAAATTTCTCAAGGTTTTAAATTTTTTCAATTTTTTTTTCTCCGTTTTTTTTTTTTTTAAAAAAAAACCTTGTTCGCTAAAAAAATTTTTTTTCGTTTTCAAGATTTCTAACAGTATCAATAATAAGAATTGTTCCTTCAAATAACATATAATTACAAAAATTAAAAAATTAACAAAAATTAAAAATTACGAAAATTAAAAAGAATTACTAAAAAATCACAAAAAATTACAAAAAATTACAAAAAGTGTTATTATATGCTTTTTCTTTTTTACTTTTGATAACGTTTTACGATCTTTTTGATATATTTTTCATCTTTTACGTTCATAAAAATCCATATCCGAAAATTTATCTGTAACGAAACATCACTAACATTAATTACTAATAGTTATATTTGATCAATAAAAGTAAGTAACTTGTCATTTAACCTCGGATGGTCTCATCAAATTTAAATTTTCTCGGTTTCATTTCAACGATTTACGATTTTTCTAATATTTTTTATTTTCATCATTAGTATTTCATCATCATTATTATTATTATTATTACAGTGACGGAAAATAAAGGTAAATTATTATAAATTATTATATTTTTATTTATAATTTAATGAAAATTTACTAAATTATACTTTCTCATATATATAATAATATAGTTTATTTTAGTTTGGAATAGTTTATAATTGTTAATGATGGTGTGTACAAGGGCACGAGATTACGGGCATAATCAAAAATTATATCAACGATATGAAGACGGTGATGATGAAGAAATTTATTATGACGATTATAGTAGTATTTCTAGTAGTAGTAGTAGTAGTAGTAGTAGCGGTGGTAGTAGTAGAAGTAGTAGTTTATCACTTATTTCATCAGAATTTGATAGTGATACATTAATGAATACGTCAGTGAATACATCATTGAATTCATACACTAGAACAACACCATCATCGACAACATTTACTATACCACGAACATCACCTTCAATAATTTCTAGTACCACCACTGCAGTATCCTGGAGACAACAAAAACCAAAGCGAGTTACATTAAAATGTCCTTCATCAATTATGAAAAATAAAAATAATAATAACATGAGAAATAATAATAATTATAATAATTATAACAATCATAACAGTAATAATAATAATAATAATAATAATAATAATAATCGTAACTATAATATGAATCGGAATAGAACACCTCGACCTCGAGTAGTTTTTGTTAATCAAGATGAAGAACATTTATATAATTGTGCGGCATTTCCGATACGTAATAATGAATTAGAACTTTATGGTTCAAAATTTTCCGAAATAAGGAATCGTTATCAAAATCATCAACGAATCATTCCTCCATTAATTAGAGATGAACGTTCCATTGCTGATTTATTGGAACAAGAAATACCTAATGATGATGATGATGATGATGTTGAAGATTATTATTATCATGATAATGAAGGTAGAATAATTCCTAAATTAATTAGAGATGAACGAACCGTTAATGATTTATTGGATGAATTTAATAATAATGATATATGTGATCATACGTCACCGTCGCTTAATAGATCACAGTAAGTAATTTATTAATTTAATAATAATAATAATAATAATAATTTATTCATTCATTCATTCAATTATTAATTCAATTCAATTATTTATTTATATTATATTCAATTTTTTATAGTAGAATCATTCGAATTATTTATAATATTTGGGGATTAATGGTAACAGCCATTAATAATTTTACAGATGGAGTAATAGAAGTCATACCAAGTTTAAAAACCATTAAATTATTAATGATTTTTGCTTTTATATTATTAACATTTATTTGGTTAAATGGTGATGTTGAAGTAGATGATACAGTTCATAATCATCATCATAATAATCATCATCGTCGTTCTTCCAGTAATTCGAATTATGACTTTTCAAATTTAAATAATGCCGAAACTTATGAATCCATAACATCTAAAATATGGTCATTATTAAGTTCCAATAATAAAGCATCATATACAATACAACAAATTCTTGATGCTCAACAACAAGTTTCACCTGAGATGACAGAAAAGAAAGTTGAAGATATGTTAAATAAATTTGTTCCATCAATAGTTCATAATGTTTTAAGGGATGAAATGATGAATGTTCAATTACCTGATACTGAACAACTTAATGAATTCGTTGCAAAAGTCGCTCATCGAATATTTATGGAATATGTTAAATCCGATATATTGAATATACCAGATTTCGCATTAAATTCAGGTGGTGCAAGAATTATACCTTCTTATACTAGTCGAAGTTATTTAGAAATGCCAAATTCTTTTATGGGAAAAGTTCGTGCAAGAATAACTGGACGAGGGATGATAGTAGGATTATCACCAACCATGGCAATAACTGGTGATAATTCATTAGGTAAATGTTTCTCATTTTCCGGAGATAAAGGTCAACTCGCAATACAAATTAGTCGATCAATTTATATTACTTCTGTTACATATCAACATATTGATAGAACATTAGCATTGGATGATGATAATTTACGAAGTGCTCCAGCCAGATTTGCTATTTTAGGAATACCTGATGAAAAATATTTTAAAAATAACAATCATAACGATGATTATGATAACAATGATAATTTTGTTGATAATGATGATAATAATATTGATAATAATAATTCAACAACAACAACAAATCAAATAAGTAATAATAATAATAATAATAATAATAATGAATCAACTAAAACCAATGATGATAAATCAACCACCGGAAAAAGGAAACGTCTAGAAGCAAATAATTTCATAAAGTTGGGAGAATATATTTATGATTTGGAAGGTCCACCTGTACAAAATTTTGCTATTGAACATGTCAATGGAAGTGAGAAAATACCAATCAAAGGAATAATATTTAAAATTAATAGTAATTGGGGTCATCCCAAATATACTTGTTTATATCAATTCAAAGTTCATGGAAAAAATGTTAATAATGTGATGCCAATTTCTACTCCTCAAAATTTTCAAATTAGTAGTAGTAGTAATGATGATTATGATAATAATAATGAGTAATTAGTTTATTATTTTTATGTTGTTATTATTATAAATATTATTATCATATATACAAATTATATACAGTATATATTATCATACATATATATATATATATATATATATAACATTTTTATCACATATCAATATTCATTTTATATCAAATATAAATAACTACATAGTTAACTACACAAAATTTATATAAAAATATTTCTAGAATAAAATAGTGTAAAATCGTATAAAATAAAATAAAATTGTATAGAGATCAATTTGGGTAGAAAATAAAATAAAAAAGATGATCATTAATAAGAATGGAAAAAAATTGAAATGAATAAAATATTATAACCCGTTCAAAAATAAATAATTCAAATAATAAAAAAAAAAAAAAATTCATTATTCTTTATTGAATATGGAATAATGAAATTTATCTATCTAAATTAAAATTAATGCATGCTTTCACAAAAAAAAAAAAACTGGAAGTTTTCAATCTACATGTATTATTGAAAAATTCAAAGATTCCATTTAACAAGTTGATAAAATCTAATGAATTTTTATTTTCGGAATTTTATATTTGCAATATTGTTATTCAAGTAATTTCCAATATAGACTTTTGCATGATTTTTAAATGACTTGATCATTTGCTCTCACTGAACTAGTCAGCTTTGTACTTGAGACAGAAATTATTAAAGCATACAACAAAAGAATAACTCTCTATATTTTTATATTTCAATTATTTCATTGATTTGTGTGAATAAACTTTTTTTAGTAATTGAAATAATTGAAATAGTTAAAATAGTAAAATAGTTGTAGTTAAAAAAAATTGTAGTTAAAATAATATAAAGTTTAAGAAAGTATCTATATATATATATATATTTTCAGGTTTATTAAAATACGCGAACTTTTTTTTTTTTTTTAATCTTATTAATTACTTATTCTTATTCGTTATTCTCGAAGAAACACTCTTTAATTCGATAATAATAATAATAATAATAATAATAATGTATATCATGTCATCATCTTCTAGTATTGAAGTTAATAAAGAAAATATTGATCCGAGTTTGAGAAGTCCATTCTCTTCCTCCTCTTCAACCACCTTCATCTCCTCCTCTTTAACCACCATCATCTCCTCCTCTTCCGGATTGTTGCTTGATAATAATTATTATCAATCGAAATGGACATTATTATCATCACATCATTCAATGCCTACAATGGGAAGGGATCCTTTATTAGAAATTTACATAAACGAACCAATAGAAAGAATAGAAAGAATAGGGGGGAATGTTTTGGAATTAGAAACAAGAGTAAGTTATTTATTTGTTTTTGTGTTACGTGTATTTTGTATAACTATATTAATCTATAATTTTATTACATTAGAATTCAACAACAACAATCATCACCAGTAATGATGATGATAATTCAACCGTCACTCTTGCCACTTCAACGAATAGAAAAAAGTTAAATAAGAGAAATGTCAAAGAAAAAAAGAATAAAAAGCCAGTTAAAAAACAAAAATTTGAAAGTTTGTTGAAATTGAGATAATTGGATATTTTTTATATATTTAATTTTTATACATAAATATGTCATTGGATCTTTTTTTATTTAAGGTTGGAGGAAGAAATTAAATAAATAAATAATAAATAAATAGACTTAGTATTGCATTCCCTATGATTCTCTGTGGTTCTTTATAGTAAATTTTCTTCTTTTGAAATAGAAAGCAAAATTAAATATTATTAAGTTAATATTAAGCAGTAACGATATATATTAAAAACTAGTGTATTAAGTAAGTATTAAATTTGTAGGTGAACAGAGTATATTCTTTTATTCTTTATATAAAAAAAAATAATTATTTTAAAAATTAAACATCAAAAAATATATTTTATGTATAGACGCGAACATTAGAGTATATGCATGGATATATGATGAATATTTATATAACTTATTCCAAAGAAAATAATAGGTCACTTGATGATGATGAAGAAAATATATCAATTTTTTTTTATCATTGAAATTGTAAAATTTTCTATAATTCGAACATTTTTTTCGTGTAATTCACGTGAAATTAGTGTGTTTTCTTATGTCACATCTTTGGAATTTTAGCGTATTTTTTAGTGTACTTTTTTAACGCACTTTTGGCATAATTTATCGTCTTAACTAAAGAATACATAATCATGTCAAAACGTCAAAAACATCAAAACATACGTCATTATAATTTTTTTTTTCTTTTTTAAAAAAAAAAAGTTCCTTTGTTACAGAATTCTATTTCATTACTTTCTATTATTATTATTATTATTATTATTATTATTATCGATTCTCTTTTTTATTATTCTATACATAGTAGAAAAATATTTATTTCTAAAAATAATGAAATAAATAAATATGGAAATAACAAAAGGAAAAGGAATTATTAAAAAACCATCAACCTTGATTATCGAGGAAATTTCGGAAAATAATGATAATAATAATGATGATTTAGAAAATCATTCGGAAGTTAAGGAAGAAGAAGAAAATTCTTCAATTCCTATGGTTTTTGCGGTAAATCATAAGATTATTATTATTATTAAAATTTTGTTTCGAATATTTGTAATTAAAAATAATGATAATTTTGAAAATAGGCCGTAAGTACTAAAGACGACCCAAAATTACCATGCTTAACTTTTCGATTTTGGATTTTGAGCACTGTAAAAAATTCGAGAAATAATAATAATTAAATATTATATTTATTATTTAAATTAAAATTATTTTTTATTATTTATGATTAATATTATTTTTACTTATTATTTTTATTATGTTATATTATAAAACATTTGACCAGTTCTTTACTACACTTGGTGCCACATTGTCGGAATTTTATTACTTTCGTTCAAACGGAATTAGCTTTTCAATATTTTTCGTATTAATAGTATCTTACGTAATTGGTAAATGGATGGCAAAAGTATTTTCAAAACGAAAATTTAAAATTGGAAAATATGAATTTAGTTTGAATCCAGGTTAGGAAACAAACAAACTAACAGTTAAATATTTTAATTCATTTTTTTTTTAAAGTTCATTTTTTTTTCGATAATAAAAATCTCTCTCTTTTAAATTTGTTTTTTTAGGTCCATTTAATATCAATGAACATGTTTGTATAGTTGTCGCTGCTGGTGCGGGTGGAGGATCAGCATATGCAACGGTAATTAAAATCAACTATTAAAATAACTAGATTAAATAAATTGAAACTTTATGTTTTTCTTTACAAGGATATTATTGCCATTCAAGAACTTTTTTATAAAACTAGTGTCAGTTTTATAAAAGGTTTTTTATTACTTATGAGTACTCAAATTCTTGGTTATGGACTTGCAGGATTTCTTCGGAAATGTGAGTTTTTTTTTTTTTTACGCACTCGTCATACGTTAACATGCCGTGCGTATATTCATCAAAATACCGTTGCCGTTGAATATTTTTTTTTAGATCTCGTTCGACCAGTGAATATGATTTGGCCATCAAATTTGGTTTTTGCATCTATGTACAACACATTACACGGAAATGCTTCCGAAACACGTGACAAACTTCGATTTTTCTTGATAGCATTTATAACAATGTTTATTTGGCAATTTATACCTCAATATATGTTTACTTGGTTAAAAAGTATGGCACTTTTATGTGTTTTTGCTCCTAACAATAAATTAATTAAAAAATTGAGTAGTGGATATCAAGGTATTGGAATTTTAAATTTTACTCTTGATTGGAATGCAATTGGTCAATCTGGTCCTTTGTTCACTCCTTGGTAAAAATAAATAAATATATATTTATTTATATTTAAGAAATTAATAATTATTAAGATAATTAATGAGTTACGTTAAATTATTATAAATTATTATAAATTTTAGGTGGGCTCAAGTGAATTGGTATTTTGGTGTTATTCTCGGTACATGGATTATAGCGCCATTATTATACTATAATAATTTCTTGTAAGAATAAATTACTTTCTTTTAAGAAAATCGTATTATTTTTATATTCTTATATCTTTTGATCGAATAGAGATGCTCAAAAATTTCCATTTTTGTCAACATTTCCACTTGACAAATATGGAGAAAGGTAATTTTAATAATATTTCTTTCCTTCCCCATATGAGGATAGAAAATTTACTCGTCTTCTTTTTTTATTATTTTTTTCTTTAAAAAAAGATATAACCAAACTCAAATCGTAGACCAAACCACTTGGTCTCTAAATGTTACAGCTTATCAAAATTACAGCCCAGTATATTTATCAGTTACTTTTGCAGCGACGTATCTATATTCATTCATGTCATTAACTGCAGCGATGAGTCACGTGTTATTGTTTTATGGTAAAGAAATTTGGGAAAGATTTAAGGCAAGTCGTGAAGAAGAAGAAGAAGATATTCATTGTAAGATGATGAGAGTATATCCAGGTTATTAATTGAAATCATATTAATTATATCATATAAGTCATCTTATAATTGTTATGTCTTTATGTAATTTTAATATTTATTTATTTTTTTTTTACAATAGAAATTCCAAATACATGGTACGCTACACTCTTTGTTGGGATGTTAATAATTGCGATCATTCTTGGCTACATAACAGAGGCAAATTTACCATGGTGGGGTTTACTAGTGGCTATATCTTTGGCAGTGATTATGGTTCTCCCAATTGGTATAACTAAAAATATATATATACTTCTAAAATTGTTAAAATTGTTAAAAACTGCGTGTTTCTTATTCATATATATACTGTGTGATTCTTTCTTTTCCCTCCCTTCTTTTCTCTATATTTTACATATTTTAAATACAGGAATTATTCAAGCAATTTCAAATAATCAAGTTGGATTAAATTTAATTATCGAAATGATTTGTGGCTACATTCTTCCAGGTCGTCCTATTGCAAATGTTTATTTCAAATGTTATGGTTATGTGGCAATGTATCAATGTCTTTTATTTTTATCAGATTTGAAATTGGGTACCTTTCTTTCTTTCTTTCTTTCTTTTTTTTATATATACATTTACCTTTATTCTTTATCTTTATTTTTATTTTATTGTTTATTTTAATATTCCAAAGGACATTATATGAAAATTCCACCAGAAAGCATGTTTATATCTCAATTATGGGGTACAGTCCTAGGTGGATTTGTAAATTTCTGGATGCTCAAATTAATTATTAAAATAAAAAGACCATTTCTTGATGGAACTTTACGTGATCCATCTGGAAAAGTGAATTTAATACTTAATACTTAATAGTGTTTATTTAGTTTTTTATTATAATTTTCATTTTTAATTTTTTATTTTTATTTATGTAATTAGTGGACAGGTTATTCCTCACAAGTTTTTAATACTGCTTCAATTGTATGGGGATTAATTGGACCTGCTCGAACATTTGGAGTAATAATTTTATTTTAATTTATTTAAATTTTTAATTAAATAATAATGATTTATTATTATTAATTTTTAATAATTGTTATTTTTAATTATACCAATTTTTTTTTTTTAGTCGGGTTCAATGTATCAACCACTCTTATGGGGTTTTTTAATAGGTTTCTTGGCTCCTATACCATTTTATTTACTTCATCGTAAATTTCCAAAAGTTAGATTTGATCTTGTAAATGTACCATTGATTTGTGTTGGATTAAGTTTTTTACCTGAATATTATACGAATTTCATTTTAACCGGATTTGTTGCAAGTTTTTTAAGCCAATTTTGGGCTTATAGATATAAAAATCGGAAAGTTTTAATTTAATTTTAATTTAATTTATTATTAATTTAATTTAATTTTAATTTAATTTATTATTAATTAATTTAAATTAATAAATCGAATATAGATGGTGGAAAAAGTATAATTATATATTATCGGCATCGTTTGATAGCGCAGCACAAATCGTAACAATGATCATTTTCTTTTGTCTTAATGGCGTTGTTCAGGTTTTCATTTTTTTTTCTTTCATTCTTTTTGAAAATGAATAATATTAATTTTGATTCAAATATGATTATTCATAAAGATTTTATTTATTTTTAGGTTTCATTTCCTGAATGGTGGGGAAATAATAAAGAATCTCAAGGTGAACGATGTTTTGCGCCGGATTAATTAAATTAGAAGAATTTTTAGATTATTTTATAATTAATTCATCAGATAACTTTATTTGTATATATATATATTTTATAATTACATAAAGAATGTTTAAAATTAATAATAAATAAATAATAAATTATGAAAAAAGAATTTCTAGAATCTTTAGGTATTCTATCTAGGACGGATTCATTTTTACTAATGATAAAAAATCGAAAACTTTAACTACCAATTTTATTAGGAATATATATTATATTCTTTAGGGCGAGGCAATAAATTTATCTTAAGAAGGCGTGAACTTTATTATTAAAGCAGAAGTCTCGATTTTTTTTTAGATTTTTCATATCAAAAGGAATAATTTTTTTAGGAAAATACATTAGACCCTGAATTTCATGAAATAACCACAATTATCCTGGTACACAATCTTGATCACAATAACAAGAGCGATACCAACAACCATAATCATAACAATCTTCCTTTACCCAATTAGTACATGTGACGTGAGAACAAATAGAACTCGTTTGGCAAGTACCTATTATTTAAAAAGTTCTTTAGTAAATTAATTTATTAGAGATTTCTAAACAATATACTTACAATAATATAGCCCTAAATCACCTTTATTATTCTGAAATACAGAACAGCTACACTTATCACAAGCCGAACAAACGGACAAAATTTATAAACAATAACATACATTTTGTTACTTTCGTTTTTTTTGACTAAAATTTTTCTACAAATGATAGAAAAATAACTAGAAACAATAAATGAAAAGTCGAAATAGTACCGAGTAACAAGATAGAAAAAAAAATGTAACAAAAATAATCAAAGAACAACTGAAGATATCGAATTTTTTATCCTTTTCCTTATAATCATTTACATAATGAAAAGAGATTTTTTATCCTTTAAACGCCAGATAACTTATTTGATAACGTTATCAATTCTTTTACTGTTTAAAAAATAATGTAAATAAAATATCTTCAGTTTTAACTGCACTATGTTTCAATGAAATACGCCTTCCAAAATATCTGAACAAAGACGTTCGAAATAGTACCGAGCAACAAGATAGAAAAAAAAACTTAAGATGTAACAAAGATAATCAAAGTACAACTGAAGATATCGAATTTTTTATCCTTTAAACGCCAAATAACTTATTTGATAACGCTATCAATTCTTTTACTGTTTAAGATATAATGTAAATAAATATGAAATTTTCTCAATCTTCTATTTTAACTGAACTATATTTCACCTGCCAAAAGTATCTAAACAATAACATAATTACTAGCTTAATTCTTGATTTTGACAAATATGGTATCTTCTATATTCAAACTTAGTAATTGATAAATTTTGTTGTTGTCCGTTGCGAACGAAGTTCGGTAATGTTAATTTTATCGAATGTAACAATTGAGATGCCTTTATAACATCTATGATAGAACCTATCATTACAACAAGTCCTGTTTGGGAATAGATACCCTCGTCAGCCTAAACTGACTCTTTTTTGGTGAAGAATATTACGAGCACCATTAATATCCCTATCAAGTTTAGTTTTGCATTGGGGACAGCAAAACTCCTTGGATCCACCCAGGTTTTTGTGAATATAGCCACAAGATCCACAAGTTTTGTTTGTGTATTCTTCTGTACAAAGAACTACTTGACACCATGGATTCTCATGTGCTTTGTGGATTAGATGGTGTTGAAAGCGAAAATGTGACCATGTACACATAGCTCGGGCTGTCTTGGAATCGATACGTCGTTGACCACGTCTGATCATTCCTTGAGTGCGAAATTCTGGTAATAATATTACACGATAATTTTCGCAAAGCCATTTAGCTAGTTTATGGTGACAATCACCTACAAGACAACGAATCTTCTCATGGATGCGAAGCATAACACGATGTAATCTATAATTAAAAATATTTAATATAATTAAATAATTAATATAATTAATATAATAATACATATATATTAAATGTTAAATTATAAATAATAATAAATAAATTAATTAATTAAACTTACCTATAGCGCTTACACTTGTTTTTTTTTCCATGAATACTATCGTGTTTGCTTTGGAGCTTATCGTATTTATGACTTAGTTGATAAATTCGACCAATATCATTTTCCCCCCACTTAATAGTTACTCCACTTGAATTATAGACCGCCATGAAATTACGTATGCCTGGATCACCCCGATCCTTCCTATTAAATTATTATTAAATAAAAAATTAATTTTATTAAAATTTTTGATTTTTATTTATTAATATAAAAGTAAATTATTTAAACTACAACTGAAATCTTTTATAGAATTTATATAGATAATATAAACAATATAATAAAAATAAATAAAAACCTTTTCCTGTGCTTCTGAAATAAAGGACCTTGGTTTTCAGTCCTTATTTTCATTGGTTTAGGAATTCACAAGTAAAATTCCCCAAGGCGATTCATAACAAGACGACTATCATAGCCAAGTTTTTCCGGGAGGTTCTGCTGACTTCATTTTAGGAAGAAAAGAATATTCACCACGAGACCTGCTCCAATGTTTAGAATGTATTACAATTGATTGTCGAGGATCCTTTTTAGAACGGAACTTCATTTTAAATTTTTTATTAAATTTTTTATTAGATGCAAAATTGGAAGAATATCCTTTAAGCAAGTCATTAATAGCATCATTTCGTATATCATAAGGTGTTTCTATAACCCACTTAAGTTTTGCATCGTTTTTGAAATTTACGCCATTAAAGGCATCGTGCCCGTAAATCTTTTTTGTTCTCTTTGATACCCTTCTTTTCAATTGCATTGAGGCATTGATTGTACGTCCATCGTGCTGTTCCCATCCATTTTCTGAGTTTTAGTCGCTCATTTTGAGTGGGATAAAGACGGATGCGTTGTGCTTTGCCTGCTGGAAGTTTCTCCTCTTCCTTTTTGGAGCTCTTGAACCTTTTGGGTGGTATTTTTTCTTCACATAGCCCATTATATCTCACCACAAATATTGTGATAACTGTAAGCTCTCCGGTTTTTCTATCGTTGGTACAAACATATTAACTGAGAACCATGAGTTATGTCCTCTTTTTTTTAGGGATTCATTCTACAAGTTTGAATCCAAAGCAGAACAAATGGTCTGATTCTTTCTGCGTGTATTCATTCCAGAAGGGTAACAACCCACTTGTGTTTTCGGGCTGATGTCGCTTGTATAGCAGATCTTGGCCTTTTACGATAATTGCTGGTCATCTTTGTTTTTTAAGTATTTTTTTTTTTACTAAAAGAATATATTTTTTTATTAAAAATATAAGATAATAAAATACGTTTTTTTTTGAGATAATTATAAAGTATTCGCTAGGCTTACTTTCCCTTATATTTATAAAAAAAGAAAAAAAAATATAGAGGTGCAGTATTAGTTTCGCGATAACAAAATCATTTTATTGTTAAAAATTAAGGAGTTCATTTAATTTGAATAATAAATAAAATAAAACAATAATTTTTCATAATGAAATATACTTTTTTAAAATACTAAATATAGTGAAAATGGAATCACCCCATATTTTTAACATGAGTATTCTCATTGCAGTAATAGTAAATTTTATTAATATTATTATAAAATTTAAAATTGTTCAAAATAAATTTTAATTTGATCTTTATTTCAGTATAAAAAAAATATCGTTTTGAAAGTTTATTTAAAATTTATTCATTCGAGAAAAGTGATATTTATATTTAATACTATTATGTAAACATACTTCCAATATGCAATCAAGATTTTGTAACCATCCTACATTCATACCAAATACGTGTGCGGCATCTGGTCGGAATGTTTTTCCGAAAATTCAAGTCTTCCTTATGAGTTTTGTTTAATTTTGTGAACAATTTCTTTTTTAAACTTGAAAAATTTTGTTTGATAAATCTTGGATTTTTATGATACTTGACAATTGTTTTGTAGGGAGAAACGTATGACATAATCAAATCTGATCTAGCCTCATTGAGTATGATAGCATTTACAGTGGCTTAACGAAGAGAAAAGTAAATTTATCATCTGGTTGTGTCTCAAGACCTATACTATTTATATACCTATCAAATGAATTGTCAAATGCATTATCTGATTTTAATCCTGCACGAGAGGAATCAATGCGACCAACATATTTTACAGTTGCCGGTGGATGAGGAACATTTTCAAAAATTGAATGATATTTAAATCCAAGAAATTTGTATCCATGGTGTCAAGTAGTTCTTTGTACAGAAGAATACACAAGCAAAACTTGTGGATCTTGTGGTTATATTCACAAAAACCTGGGTGGATCCAAGGAGTTTTGCTGTCCCCAATGAAAACTAAACTTGACAGGGATATTAATGGTGCTGGTAATATTCTTCTTAAATACTTCACCAAAAAAGAGTCAACTTAGGCTGACGAGGGTGTCTATTCCCAAACAGGACTTGTTGTAACGATAGGTCCTATCATAGATGTTCGCACCATAGTTCTATTCTCAGTATCAAGAACATTCCTGAGCTATAACTATAAAAAAGAGTAAAGACTTTCTAAAAGGATGTACTAATATAACCGAAAACATCACTGAGATTTTGTTGAAATTTACTCGATTCCTTTTTAATATCACCTCTTTCCAAAAAACGAAATACAACTAAGTCGGCATACTCTGAATTACCTTTCAGTAATGAAATAGACAATTAGAAAATCACATTCTTCACCGATCCAAAATCTCAATGATCCAAACAAAAAGAAAGCAAGTGAATCGCGAAGATGAGGCCGGGAAATAGCTGATGCTTCTGAGGTCAGGAAGTAGCTGTTCAGAAGTTTCCATCACCAACACTCGGGCAAAGAAATAGCTTATACCCTGAGTCAGGAAGTAGCTGATCAGGAGTTACCTTTCTTAAATTGAAACGAAATTACCTTATTTTTTACGTCATCGAATATTGCTGGAGTCCATCTCTTTCACTTCACGCAGGAATCTTCTGGTCCACATACCATCAAGAACACTCCAAGAGTCTGAAAATGGCGGCAGATCGACAAGAAACACACTGTTTAGCTTTATAGGACCAGTCTTCAGGATTAGAATCTGCACTATATAATTAATCCTCATGTTTTCTTATGATATTTTGAATTAATGTATTAACACACTTACTCGTACGACACGATACCAATCTTTTTAAATTCGGACATCTTATTATCGATTCGAAAATTATAAAACGCGTTATTTTTTTTAAAATAGAAATGGATTTGCATTTAATGTTATAATATTATTTATGCTCCGGATTTACAATTTCTAGTATGTATAATTTTACGTGACAATTTTTTGAGGTCAAAAAACAATAAACTCAATAAACTGTAATATGCTAATCTTTATAATCAGTATTCATTACATTTTGTTGTCAGTGTAATAGATCAGATAATAACACGCAATTTTCTTCTGTTTTCAAAATATTGTTTTGCAGCTACTTCGTAGCTAAACTGACAATGAATGGCAGGGGCGGGTAACTTGGGATATTAAAACAACATTGGAAATTGGCACCAATTATGTTATAAACAGCAACATGTACACGATTACATAAACTACCCTTAAAGGAAATTATGATGAAATTGTGAATGTAGTAATCTCGTGATTACAAAATCACGCGATAACAATTTTAATTGGAAAATAATAATAAAATTTCTTCAATGAATATAATTACTGAACTCACTGAATCTATTACTGAATTAACAACAAAAACAACAGAAAATTATCATCAAAAACCAGAAGAAGAAGAAAAAAAAGAAAACAACCTTGATAAAGAAAATAATAATTGGACAGATAATAATATTAACCAAAGTTATTATCAAATCTTTCAATACGATTTCTCTCAATCTCTCACTTCTCTTTATTCAACCAAACAATTATTTAATCAAACTGTTTGGGAAAGTTTAAGAAATAATGGTAATATAAAAAAAGAGAATGAGTTATCTTATATTCCAAATGGTTTAGAGGATAATTTTTTTAAAGCTGCTAAATGGTAAATTTAATAATTATTTATTTTCAATTATTTTTTTTATTATTTTTATTTTTTTTGGAATTAATATAAAAATTCATATTTAAAGGTCACCCGATGGATCATGTATATTAACATCTTCCAATGATAATATATTAAGAGTATTTGATTTGTATGTATTAATATAATAATAATATAATAATATAAACAATAAAATATAATAATAATAATAATAATAATAATAATTAATAATAATATTTATTATATTAATAATTAGAAATTCGAATGTGTTCGAAGTGAGTGAAGGTATTTATAATGATCTCCTAATTTTAAATCAAAGAAATTGATCACTTATGATTTAGTGTGTATTATATCACAGAACTTGATTTAAATCCTTCACTTAGTATTCATTCCGGAGAAACAATATATGAATTTTGTTGGTATCCATTGATGTCAAGTCAAGGTAATAATAATAATAATAATATTAATAATAATAATAATAATAATAATAATAATAAATATTTTAATAATATATTTTAATAATGAATATTTTAATAATTTCGGTACATTTTTTATAGATCCTGCGACTTGTTGTTTTCTCTCATCCAGTCGGGATCATCCAATTCACCTGTGGGACGCGTTCACGGGAAAGGTAATAATAATTAAATTACTTTAAATTGTTCAAAATTCTGAATTATTATTATAATGTTTTAAATAACAATTATTATTATTAAAAATAGAGTAGATGTTCTTTCACTATAATCAATCATCGTGATCAAGTTGTAGGACCCAATTCATTATCATTTAATTTAGATGGTTCCAAGTAAGTTATTCTTTTCTCATCTTTAATATTGCATTAATATTGTATTTAATATTGTATTTAATATTGTCCTTAATATTGTATTTAATATTGTCCTTAATATTGTCCTTAATATTTTCCTTAATATTGTATTATATTATATTTTTTTTTTTTTGAAATGAAAATCAGAATATATTGTGGATATAGGAATATGATTAAAATGTACGATTCCAATCGACCCGGTTATGATGGAATCGAATGTCCCACAACTACCACAAGAAAGAGTAGAGATGGTCAAAAAGGTATTACATACTAATATTTTTATGTTAAAATTTATTATTTATTATAAATGTATCCCAAATTTTATTAAATAATAATAGTTTCAATTCTTTATGTGTAAAGGCATTATATCTTGTCTTGCATTTAATCCAGATTTTTCAGGTTTATATGCAGCTGGTTCATATTCTCAAACAATTGGGCTATATGATGAGAGTAACAATAAATTGTTATATCTTTTGCGTGGTTCAAAAAGTGAACCAATAGGTAGTGTTACTCAGGTAAATTACCTTTTTTTTCTTCTTTAACATAACAAATGTCGTATTTTTTTTTTAATGAGATATTTTAATTAATATAATTAATATAATTTATAGGTTTTATTTTCCCCTGATGGAAATTACTTATTCTCTGCATCAAGAAGAGATAACCATATTAGATGTTGGGATATTCGAAATTCTGGAGAGATATTATATAATCTGTATAGACAAGGAGATACAAATCAGAGAATGTCATTTGACATTGATAATACTGGTAGATATTTGATTACAGGTGATCAGGTAAAAATTATTATAATTATAATTTAATGAATATGAATTTATGGATTACCATTTATTATTATTTATTATTATTTTTATTTATTATTATTTTTATTATCTTTATTTAATTTAGTATGGAAAAATAATGATTTATGATTTAAATCACGATATTGAAAATAATGAAAATGAAATTTCAAAATTAGTTGTTTTAGAAATTATTGGTCATGATGGTAATTAAGAAATTTATGAAATCTCTTTTCTTTTTGATAATAAAAAATTAATTAATTATTTATTTATAATAATAATAATTATTATTTTTTAGATTCCATTTCATCTGCAGCATTCCATCCATTTTTACCTTTGATTTCATCTTGTTCTGGACAAAGAAAATTTGAATTTCCTTTGGATAACATAGAAAATAATAATGAATTTAAACATAAACAAGATAATTCTCTTAAAATTTGGAAAGCAGAGGGAAAATATGAATGGAATTATTATAATGTAGAAGAAAATGTGGAAAATGCAGAAAAAAATGCCGATACATCATGATTAATTTATAATTCATATCAATTCATATAAATTGTAGAAAAAAAATATTAAATAAATATATATTTGTTAATGATTTTCTATATATATTATGTTTTATATAATTTTTAATCAATATTATAAAATTAGATTACATTCGTTTCAGACATTCCAATTAATATTGGATCATTGGATCTTAAGGTTATACAAATGCTAGGTTATCAAAATAGAATTAATATGTGATCTACATAAATCATCGAATTAAGTGTACTTTCGACAAAGTTGTTTTAGTTATTTTGTAATCAATTTCCATAGAATATTATAACGATGTCAATGCTTCTGAATAAAAAGGACAACAACGACAATAAAAATAACAATAATGAAAAAAATAGCAATACAATCAATAATAAAAATGAAGGTGCAAATTATCTCGAAAGTGGAAATCTTTATTCTAATCTCCTACTATACCAAAAGGAAGGAGATAAGAAGGAATACCAACAACAACGACAAGTAAATTCGTCTCTTTATATCGCTAGACCTACTTTTGGTCTAATAGATTTTGGATTGAAACAGACTTTAGGTATGTCATCTCGTTTATTTCGTTTATTTGGGCTGGTTAAGCATTTTTTTTTAATTTCTAATTTTTTTTTTTTTACCATTTTAACCATATTTTTAACTACATTTATTGGGTGATATACAGGTACCGGAACATTTGGACGAGTGTTTCTTACGAAGTTTAAACATACAGAATCTTATTATGCTATGAAAGTTTTAAAAAAATCCGAAGTCGTTCGACTTAAACAAGTTGAACATATTAATTCGGAGAAATTAATTTTAAGTCAAGTGCATCACCCGTTTATTGTGAATTTGTAAGTAATAATTATTTATTATTATTATTATCTTTTTTTTTTTTTTTTTTTTTTTTTGTCATTTATAATTTCAAAACAAAGAAAAACAAAGAGAACTAAACAAATAATAAACAAAAAAATAATATGTAATAATAAACAAAAATTAGATTTTGTACATTCCAAGATGATCGGAACCTTTATATGCTACTTGAATATGTAATTGGTGGAGAACTATTTTCCCATCTGCGAAAAGCAGGACGATTCACTAACGATATGACCCGTTTTTATACAGCAGAAATCGTACTCGCGATCGAGTATTTGCATTCTAAAGATATCATCTATCGCGATCTTAAACCTGAAAATCTATTATTAGATTCAAGAGGTCATATAAAAATTACCGATTTTGGATTTGCAAAAAAGATCGAAGATCGGTAAGTAATTCTACCTTTTTTTTTTTTCTTATTTATTTTTTATATGGAAATTATTAAATTTACGATCTTTAATTTAGAACTTGGACATTATGTGGTACTCCGGAATATTTAGCTCCGGAAATAATTAAAAGTAATGGACATGGAAAACCAGTAGATTGGTGGGCATTAGGGATTCTAATATTTGAAATGTTAGCAGGGTAATTCATCATCATTTTTTTTTTTTAATATTAAATATTTATTAAATTATTTAATTAGCTATAAAAATTTTTTCTAATTATTTAATTTTTTAATAATATATGTTTTTTAAGTTATCCCCCATTTTTTGATGACAATCCTTTCGGTATCTATGAAAAGATTCTTGCCGGAAAGATACAATTTCCTCCTCATTTCGATTCAAATGCCAAAGATCTCATTAAACGTCTTTTAACGGCTGACCGTTCCAAACGATTAGGAAATCTTAGAGGAGGTAGTGAAGATGTTAAAAAACATAAATGGTTTCGAGGAGTTGATTGGCAAGGTTTACATGATAGACGTATACAAGCACCAATTATCCCACCTTATCAGCATCCAGGAGATACTGGTAATTTCGAAAAATATCCCGAGCCAACTGATGATGATAATAAATTGGGAATAACCGGAGATCCATATCGACATTTGTTTACAAATTTTTAATAAAGTGTACATTTTTTTTTACATTTAAATTTTATTTTATATAGTAAATAATTTTAATTTTTAATTTTTTTCAGATCTTTTCAACTTTTTCAATTAAAATTAATGTCATAATACAAATTCATTAATTCATTTACCGTATGTAAATTATTTAAATAATTCCCTTTATGTACATTATTGTACAGTACCATCCCATTTCTTTTCCTTTTACTTTGAGAATTTTTTTTTTATTAGAAGTCTTTTTTTTTTTTTTTTTTTTTTGTTAAGTTATTTGATAAATTCAATCAAGATTGAAACATTATAATACAGGTATCGTATAGTGTTCGCTTAGAAATAGGTTTACAAAAGTTGAACTGATAATCTAAACTATATATGTAATTTATTTTTCCTCCCTTTTTTTTTTTTGGTCAGCAGCTGGGACATCAAACAGTCTTACACAGATTCCAAGATTTGTTCCTTGAAGCAAAGACAACAAGATTGCTTTGATAAATCATATTATTAAATATTTTTTAGAAGGATAGGGAATATATTTCGGGATAAAGTAATTCTCACATCTAGCAAGGAAATTTTTAATAAGGAATAGATAGAGAAGGTGTCCTCCTTGAATAAGTCATCTTGAAGATTATGTGATAATGGCTCTATCAAGAGTATTACAGATGAAAGGGACGATTATACCTTAAGGAAAATTCCGGATGAAGGTAATTCGTGAAAAGACGTATCTTTTCTACGGATTCCGGATAATGATTCCACGAAAAAATATTTATCTAAAGTTATCTCTCTCTCTCAATTTTTCTCTCACTTTCTCAATTTTTCTCTCTCACTGAAAAACTGTTTTTCGATTCACCATTAATTCAGTGATCCAGAATTAATTTTTTTTTTCATTATTCTTGAGTTTGAAAAAATATGTTGGGGGAATTTATGAACAAAGCTAGTATCTTTGATTATATTTTCATCTTAACTCCAATTCACCACCAACAAGTTAGAGATGATATTTCTTCTCGGAGTTATTTATTATTAACTTCAAATTGATTGATTGATTGATTGACCCTTTGAACTTGATCTTGTTATCCACCACGATACTTTGGGAATAACTATTGAATCTAGTTGTCAAATTTATTACAAATTTCAAATTATATGTTTCAATCAAATTTTATTTTATATTTAAAATTTTCTGCTGCACTTTTTTTTATTTGCTTGTATTTTTTTTAAGTTGGTGTAAATCTAGTTGAATTAAATTAAATTCTAATATAATTGAGTAGAACTATTAACTAAATATTTTAAAATAAAAAAACAAAAAAAAAACCAAATTTATTTAACTCACATGCATGAATGAACTTTAAACTTGTTTTGGTTACAATTACAGGGTTGTTAAAGTTATTGTTAACTAATACGGATAATTTCTTGATTTAATATATAAAAACGTGTATGTTTGTGTAGCAAATATTTTGCTATTTAATTGTAAAAATTTTTTTTTTTTTTTTGAAAAGGGTTTGATTAGAATTCATCAAAAAAAAAATGGAAGATATTAAAACTTACTTAAACGAATGGTATAATAATATCCATGATAAAAATGTTGATTTGGTCAATGAATTTGGTGGTCGGTGAAATAAATAATTTTTTTTTTACATACTTTTAGCAATGCAATTTTCATTTAAAATCATATAATCATATTTGATAACTTTGATCAATAGGTAGCGAACTATTCTTAATCGAGGGGGATTGCTTATTATTCGATTTTCTTTATGATGGTGAAAGGCATCTTCTCGATTTCAATGAACCATTCGTTGGAGGACAATTTTTGGCTTTAATATTTTTGATAGAAAGTTTTATGGATAGACTTAAACAGCGTGGATGTAAATTTCATATTGTTTTCTTTGAAGCACAAAAAGAAATTTGGAATTTTGATCCAAAATTTAGAATTGCAAGAGAGATTGTATTCTCTCACTTAAAATCATATCAGAATGTCACAAAAATTCCATTTTTTAATTTTGATAATTGGGAGAGTTCGGAGTTTACCGAATATCTTAAAGAGAGGCGACCTCTCTTCATTTTGTAAGTGTTATTTTTAGAATTATTAAAATATTTTATTTTTTATGTCTTTCATTAATTAAAAAGTTTCAAATGGGGAAGGAATATTCTTTAATCTCTTCAAATCGTTTATACTATTTGTTAAATAAGGTTAGGTGATGGTACAACTGAGAATTTTAATATTGATTTCGATTCCGATGTTCAAATTCCGGGAGAAAAATCAATACGCCTTGCTTCTATCATTTGGAAGGGTTTGATTTTCGATACTTTGCACAATGATCTATCCGTGGCATTAATACAAGGAATGGAATTTAAAGATTCTCATGTTAAGGCTTTTGCTTTTGATCGAGGTAATATAATTTTTTTAAAAAAAAATGAAATTGAAATTTATTGTTAAATTATCAATTTCAATTTATTAAAATGATAAATTTCCTTTATCAGGTAACACGGTAGATCTCGCCAGTTTATCAAAACAAGATGATATAAAATCACTTTGCAAGAATATTATTGAAAAATTAAATAATAATGTTGATGATGATGAAAAATTAAAATATATATTATCAGATAAAGACAAAGACTTACTTAATTCAGAAGAAAATCAAAAAATATGGTTGAATGGTGGAAAAAGGATTGCTCTAATTATTATTCCTTTAATTGGTCTATTAAGAAATAATTCAAATTATTGGTTTTTAGCCAAGATTTTCTTGCTTCATGTTTATCTTCTTGACAATATTAAATTGAAATCAAGGACTCTATCACCAATATCCTCAGAATCAAAAAATATCGGCATCAGATTCTTGAGTGACTTTTTTACATATTGTTCTCATGCATTACGTAATGATTTACTTAATAAAACATTAAAAAAATTTGAAGATTTGGAAAATAATCTTGCAGACCTTTTGGACACACAATTCTTTGCTGTTTTAATCAAATTCCAAAAAGATGGCGAATTGGATTTTAACAACCTCCCAATAGACTTAAAGCAAGAATTCGATGATGCTTGGAACTTGTTAATAACTCTTTGTAATAATAATAATAGTAATATTTCATATGAACCTTCACAACTTCCTATCATAGAATTTGATACTCCTCTGTCATATGATTCAAAATTACCACTCCTTCCTGTAAATCCTAAATTCTTTTCGGATTATCTTGAAGACCTGCAATTGGAGCTTGTCGACGACGAATCCAAGATTAATAAAGGAATTTATGGTTCAACCGTATCAACTCCATTTAAGTATATTTTACCCTGGTTAACTTCAAATAGGGGAGATGACGAACAAAGATCTGTGGAATATCGCGAGAAACATGCAACTTCTTATAAAACTAGAGGTTATCAAAAATACGTCAGTTTTATGAATAGGTAATTGAACTTTTTTTTAAAAATATTTCGGAAATTTATTGAATCCTGAATCTATTCTTAATTGAGTGTCAATCCATTTAGATATGTTGAGTCGTTAGAAGGCACGCAAGGATTTTTTAAAAAAGCAATTCAATCTAAAAAAGAAATTCAATCTGAAGGTGATAAAGGTGATAAAAAACAAATTACACAAAAGATATCTAATCGTCAGAAAGAAATAAAGGAACAAATACTTCAAGACAAGTCGAAAAAAATTCACGAGGAATCTGAAGAATTCCTTGACAAGGTTATTGTCAACGAACTTCCCAGACATTCCACTATTGAAGGAAAGCTGACATACTTGGATTCAATACTTTCCAGTGAAAAAAATAAGTTAAAGCATCCCTTATCAATTGTCCGTGGTCAATTTCTTAAGTAAGTTGTACATTTATCATTTAATAATTTATTTACAAAAAAAAAAAAAAATAACATCATTGTAAATATATCTTTTCTTTTCTTTTCTTTTTTTTACGTAGATTACAGATTTTATTAGAACATTGGAGTAAACTTTGCCAGCGTTCAGAATTAAGTCAAGGCTGGCAAAAGTTTGCAGTTAATATATATCGACAGGTTTTTTATATCGCTTTTAACTTTATTAAACATCTCGATGAAAAAAGACGAGAAATTTTATTGGAAATTCTAAAAAGGCTTGGCATGAGTGATTCGATGAATAGACTAAAAAATTTTTTTAAGGAAAATGAATCTTTATCAACAGTAACAAATCAAGAAAATTCTAAACCAAAAGGGGGAAAAGTCAAGAAAGGTACTAAAAAAGCAAAACAAACTAAGCTCACCAATTCAGTAGATGCAAAAATGCCTTCTCTAGAATTTGAATTTGAGATGCCAAGATCATCAAGTAATTTAAAGTTACCCGAAGATATTACTGATTCCAGATTTCAAATGGTAATTTAATTAACTTTGATTATACATCCATTTTTTTAACGATTAATATTAATGTCATTTTAAATTAATTCTTTAGTTATATGCCGGTCATTTAATGGATAGAAACACACAAAGTGTTGATGATCCAAGAGTCGAGAAATTCAAGCCAGGTTAATATAAAAAAATATAAAATTACAAAATTCTAAATTTTCGATATTTCTTGCTTATTTGATTCAAAATTTGAATAATATTTTTGAAATTTTGTTAGATATGTGGCAATGTAAAGTATTGGATGTAATTGACAGAGACGAAAGCGCTTTAGTGAGTTGTCCAACTTCTAGTGGTAAAACATTCATCAGGTATTTGATCTTTTTAAAAATAATTTAAGTAATTTATATAGTGGTTATAAAGTGTTTATATTTTTTAATAATTTGTTTTGATTTTTTTTTTTTTAAAAAACAATGCAGTTTCTATGCAATGGAAAAAGTTCTACGTGATGATGATGAAGGCATGTCAATTCCTTATTTCGATTTAATTAACAAAAATTTTTCCTTTTCGAAATTTTCATTAAAAATATACCATTTTTTATAGGAGTTTTGGTATACGTTGCTCCCTCGAAGGTAAGGAAAAAAAATTTTTAAAAATTTATATAATAATAGATAATAATATTTATGTTGTTAATTAGGCACTAGTGAATCAAGTGACGGCTGAAATTTATGGCCGCTTTAATAAGACTTATGATAAACCCGGGAGCACTTCATGGGGAATTTATACCATGTAAATATTTATAATTTATAAGAACTTACAAGAATTTATATTAATGTGGAAAGTTTTTTTTTTGTCTAACATAATAATGTTTAATATTATTATTTGACTTCACAAGGGATTATTGTGTAAATGAGGAGAAATGTCAAATATTGGTTACAGGTAATTTAGTTAAAAAAATTTTTTTTTTTTTTAGCTTTGATTTTTATATTTTTTGTTATAAAATTCTATTATATCTTATTAAATATTTTTTCGATTGTAAAAGTACCGGATATTCTAGAAATACTTTTATTGAGTCCTGACAAAGTTAAATGGGTGTCTAGAATTCGGTGAGAATATATAAATATAATATTGATTTTTTTTTTTTTTTTTAAAAAAAAAAAATAAATCTTATTTTATTATTAACAATTGCCTTATTATTTTAATAGACGAATTATATTTGATGAAATTCATTGTATAGGGGAAGATAGGCATGGCACGGTTTGGGAACATTTGATTCTATTGTAAGTTAAAAAAATTTTATTTTTCGGAGAACTTTTATTTCTCTCCTAAAAGAAAAAAAAATTTAATCTTTTTCATAAATTGGTCATTTTCTTTGAACACAGAGCGAATGTACCGATTCTCGCTTTATCGGCTACAGTCGGTAATCCGGATGAATTTAGAAATTGGATTGCGAAAGCGCAAAAACCCAGAGAAATGAGACTTATTAGATCAACTAAACGTTTCTCTGATCTCGTGCAATATGCTTATGTTCCTCAATATCCCTTGGGAAGTATATCGACCGTTCTTCCCAAAGAATGCAAAAATTCTTTAATTCCCATTCATCTTTTTTCAGCTTTGTCTTCAGTCATTGTTGCTGAAAGTGGGATTCCAGTTGATTTCAAACTAACGCCAGATCAATGCGTTCAATTATGGGATATGATGAATAAGGTCTCAAATAGTGACCCAGATATTCAATTTTTAGATCCTGATGTATATTTCAAGGAGAAAGGTTATATTGTAAAGGATGATGTTGATCGATATGAAGTTGAATTAAAGAAAAAGTTTGTAGGTTGGGTAAGGGATCAATCTAAATCTGCATATGCTAAAGAAGTTATTTCAAAACTTGATACTCTAAAAGATCGATTTGTTCAATTAGAAGTAAGGAATTTCTTCCTTTTTTTTTTATAATTAAAAATACCTCGAGCAATGTTTTGCTAATATTAAATAATCTGGTATCTAGAATTCAACAAAGAACGACAATTTGGAAGCATATAGTTTCGAATTTTTGGAGAAATCGATTATTCATCTTTTAACTGAGTAAAGTTTCCTTCATTTTTTTATTTTATTTTTTATTTTTTCTTTTAACATAAAATTTTATAAATTAATTTATCGGTGAATATAAATATTTTATAGATTATCTGCTCAAGATAAATTGCCAGTAATTATATTTCACCTTGATCGTGAGGGCTGTAATAAACTAGCTTATCAATTAGAAAAGCACTTAAGAACTAGTGAAGAGGAGAAAAGAGAAGGTGATGAAGAATATCAAGCAAAGAAGAAAAAGGCTATTGCTCTAAAAGCAGCGCAGGAAAAGCAGGAAAAAAAGAAAAAAAATGTACGCGACCCTAAGAAAAGACCCAAAAACGATGATGATAAAGATGAACCTCCTGAAGATGATTCTTTTGTTCCCATTTTTGATTGGGAAGCTCAGGATCCAGATTTCAGTTTTGTAAATCCCAGATTCCGTATGGAAACTGATAAGTATGAAAAAATGAAGCAAGAGATTCGTGCCAAATTGCCTGAAGAGTTATATTGGCTTTTGGATGCTTTGGATAGAGGTATTAATCATTATATCATTTTACGTTCGTAATATTAAAGACTTTGATATTAATATGCATAATTCTTATAACAAATAAAGGTATCGGTGTACATCACGCAGGAGTAAATAAAAGATATCGAGAGGTAGATTTTTTTTTTTTCTATTCGACAATTAATAAAATTAATAAGCAAAAAATTTTCTGTTTCTTAAAAAAAGTTTTTTATTTGAATTCTAAAATCAGGCGGTTGAAATTTTACTCCGAAGACGTCATCTTACTGTAGTAATTGCCACGGAAACTCTCGCTCTCGGTATTAACATGCCGGCAAGATCTGTAGTTTTTGCAGGAGATTTTGTATCTTTAAATGGTAGAATTTTTTATTTCTAGAATTTGTTAATATTAAATTTGATCTATAATTTTTAATATTAATTATTTAATTAAATTTTTATTCGTGAAGCACTTCAATTTCGTCAAATGTCTGGAAGAAGTGGAAGAAGAAACTTTGATAATATCGGTCATGTCATATTTTTTGGAATTCCTCAGGCAAAAATTAAAGGACTTTTAACATCAGGTAAATTCAAAATGATTGTTTTTTTTAAATAAATTTTTTTTTTTTTTTGAATATTTCAAATCTAATAAATCGAACTTATTTATTTGTTTGTTCTTATCTAGCGGTACCAAACCTTACTGGCAATTTTCATTTGACAAATACCCTTGTTTTACGATGTATTATGCTTCTCTCGCAAGAGGAAGAGGCAGCCAAAAAATCGGTTTCGGGATTATTTGGTGATTCCTTCTTTTATCTTGGAAAAGAACGTTTATCTGGACAAATCAAGTATCATTTGAGATATTCAATTGAATATTTAACGCGAGAAAATCTCATAGGTAAAATTTTAATGAAGCAAATTACGTAATTTTATTTTTATTTTTTTTCAATAAATATAAGTTACTCTAATCTCTCATCATTTTTTATTAGATTTTGATTGTAATCCTATAACCCTTTCCGGATTCGTTTGTAATTTATATTCCACTGAACCCGGAAATTTCGCATTGGCAACATTATTTAAACGAGGGATACTTCATAAAATTTGTTCAATGACAGAAAATAAGGAAGAAACTCTGGTTTTGATTCTTGCATATCTATTTAATCGAATAAAATTGCGCAATTGTAATAGGAATCGGAAAATATATGATAAGCATGATCCAAGAATTTATTTAGATCCACTACCCGAAAAGGTTAAAAGTATTCTAGACAAACATAATGAAAGGATATTAGAAGTTTATACGGAATATATAGTTTCATTTGCAAAACAAAATTATTCAAAAATTGGACCAGATAATGTTTTGCCAATATCTAAACTCGAATTTCCTCCTAAAAAGGATTCTCAAGAAAATTCCTTACTTTCCAAATTAGATTCCCTTTCAATTCCTTTTTATGCGCGTTCACCTTTCATTGCTATGTGTAGTTCGTTAGGGGATAAATTTTATGATGTCTATGATCTTGTCAATCATATTCATAGTCAAATTTTTCTTGACAGTAATAGCATTCCATATATACCAATACTTGAAAAACGTATTAATGCTTATATACTCAATGTAAGTTGATATAAATTTAATTATTATTATTTAAAAAAAGACAATTTCCATTTTACTTACAAGAAAGGGGGGTTTTTTTTTATTACATTCGATTAGTTTTACGAGCGTGGAAACAGAGATATACTTGTATCAGAAAATAGAATCGAATCTGACGATGTTTGGCCGGTAAAGTATCAATTTCGATTTTCGTATGAAAAAGATTCAATATATGTATATTCCAATCGGATCTAATTATATACTTTTTTTTTTAATAGTTATTGAGAGAGTTCCAAATGGCTCTTCATACAATCGTTGCAATATTAGATAAAAGAAATATTGCAAGTGAACGTTCTGTTTTGACAATCTTTGAATCGGTTAAAGAGCATTTTGACGAACGATTTCAAAAGACATGGGCATAGAGAATTTTATGGGAATTTCATGATAATTTTTTGTAATAATAATAATTTAATTTCTTTAATAATTTATTTTTTTTTCGGAAAATTAATTACAAAATTATTAATCTGAATAAATTATAATATAAACAAAAGAATCTCTCTCAAATTTAACTGAATAGATAATATATATTTTTACAATCTTATTTATTGAAGATCTAAATTACAAAAATTGAAAGGATAATAATTTATTTAATTATATTCCCATTTTTCCTATTTGAAAAGGATAATACAAAAATAATTTGAATAATTTGAATAATTTAATAACGCTCAATGTTTTTATTCCTTCGTAAAAGCGTAAACATTTAAAAACATTCCATTTGAAAAAACTCTATCAATTTGGTCTAAATTCAAATGAGGCCATTGTTGATCTATTAACGCCAATCCAAATTTATTAGATTTTGAAAATTCTGTTTTTTCATCACTTTCCGAGGAATAATTTTCATTGAAAAGTGAAGATAAATCAGTTGTAGATGGAGTAACTAAAAGAGTTCTAAATGACAATGACAAAAAATTATTTTTAATATTAATTGAACAAAAACTGTTACTACTGATAATAGATAAAAAAAAATAATACCTTTCATACTGTCTTAACGTAATATTATTTGAAAGACGTTGTTGAAAAATTATATGCCCAGAATTATATGGTTCAATCAAATTTCTTTTAGGTGCAACTTGTTGTAAAAGTAATTCTTCCAGATTTTGAATTGATTTACCCGCAAGATCGTAAATATTAAGTTGAATATTTGTATCTAATATATGTTTAAAGAAATCGCATGATAATTTAGGCATTAATTTTTAAGCCCAAAAATTTATAACAAATATAGATTTAGGTAATAATTACTTCGCCAAGTTTTAGGATATCCAAACAAATGTCTTGGAGGCATATATGTTTTGTAAAATATGACATTTGTTATAAAAGTTTCGGACCAATTCCTAACTAAAAATTATTATTATTATTATTATTATTACATTAATTATACAAAAATATTTCATTAAATAAAAAAAAAAAATTTTTTTTGTTTAAATATAACAATAATAATAACTTACCTGGCCTAACGAATCTTTTCCCAAAATTACACTGAACATATTCTTCACTTATTTCACAATTCTTAAATCCTAATGATTGATATTGTAATTTTTGAATTATTGGTATTATTCCTGCTTGATGAAGTCCACCATAAAATACCGCACAGATCAAATTAAATATTGCCCAAGCAACCTTTCAATAATTAAAAGAAGAAATATTAAAAATATTATAATAATAATAATAATTTTCAGAAATAGATAAACTTACCCAAAATAATCTTGGTATTTTCTGTAATCTATCTGATGGTACAATAATAACAGGAACAAATAATGGCAATAAAAATCTTGGTTCTTGATGTGGAATTATAGATAATAATAATAATCCACAGAGACCACTATATATAATAACTTTTAAATGAAGTGATGAAGTGAATAATAAGCAAAATTATTATTCAATTTTTTCTTGAAAAAAAAAGATTCAAAATCATAAAATTATTCAATGCTTACCAGTTTTATATTTACTTTTAGCCTTAAATCTCATGTATGTAAAACTTGCATTAAGATCTTTCATTGTCAATAAAACAAGTGGACCAAAAAGTAACACAAAATTTAGAATGTGAAGATATCGAGGGTGGATACCATGTTCTGCTAAATTGTCTGAATTAATATTATATGCTAAATTATTTAATGGGGTAAACAATAGTTTACCCTAAATAAAATAAAATAAATTATATTAAGTAAAAAAAAATATTTAATATAACAATTACCATAATAATAATAATAATAATAATAAAAGAAAATATACCTTCCAACCAATTTCAAGAATTCTCATGGGATTATTCAATAATATAAAAATGTGTTCTTTAATCAATGCATTATTGTCAAAAGTGATAATTAATGATCCAAAGTATAATGAATCTGCTAAAACACATAATATTGTTGTCAAAACAAAACCAAGGCAAGCTGGCATCATTTCTAGAATTTTATCTGTCCTAATTTTTAAAAAAAAATGAAAAAATGAAAAAATGAATTTTCATAATTTTTTAATAAAATATAATTTCTCAAATAAAAAATGTTACTAACCAATTTCTTTGCTGAACTCTAGTGGAAATAAATATATGATGAAGAAATGCAAGACCAATTGGGAATGCATATAATATAAATGTAATCCTAGTGAAACAACCTAAAGCCAGCAGGAAACCTAAAAGAAAAGCATAATTTGAAAGAAATTCTTCCTAAAAAAAAAATTATAATAATTTATTTCGAAAAAATATTATGTCAAAAAATTAATTTATTAAAATTTCTAAAATAATTATTTACCCGAACAGAAGGTTCTCCTAATTTTCGTTTAAGAGGGATATAAGGAATTGTTCCTTTGATATAAATAATAAAACATAACGCCAATAATATTGATTCAACTGTATTTGAAAAGGATCGAGTATGGTAGATAAGCAGAGTATATGATGAGGCAAAGACTAGTAATGACTTAAGTGTATTTCTTGGATAATATGAATCCGCTATCGTATAACTAACATAATCTAAATATATTAGAGATTCAAATTTAACGCAGGAATACAAATTTCTGTGAGAAAAGAAATTAATATAATAATAATATTAAAACCTTAACTAACAAATTGTAAAAAAATAATTTTTAATTAAAATAATAATAAAAATTAAAAATATATGAAAAATTAAATATCATACCGATAACAAACGATAAACAAAAATATGAGAATCTTTCCGTTATAAAAATTGATCGAGAATTTATTACCTCTAAATTTTGAAATCTTGGATTCCAACTATTTAATATCTTTAAAATTTTAAATGGCAACCCGATTGTTAACATCCTAGAAAATTGGATCCTTATTAATCCTTATTCTTTATTATTTATTAATAGACGCAATAAATCTTTTCGAAAAATCTTTAAATACATACGGAATTACTATAGATCGACATTGAGGACTTTGTTCAAATTCCCAGGGTTTAAAAACTTCAAATCCCAACACACTCTCTAAATATATATTAATAAAAAAATCAAATCAATTAACTTTATTTTATAATTAAATATTAAAATTATTTCTTTTTTTTTGATGAATACGAACCTCCCATAATTTCGGGTGATTGAAAAAATTCATCGGGATGAATATATCCTGGTAACATGGCGCAAAATAATCTTATTACGCATAATGCAAAATATAGCATTACCTTATTCCAATCATACGACATTATAATCACTAATTCATTTATACAATAAACAATGGTTTAATGCTATTATTTTTTTTATTATTTTATTATTTCTTACATGAAAAAAAAACGACAAGACCTTAGGAAAATTTAAATTATAACTTTACATCGAAAGTATATTCTTCTGAGAGATGATATTATGAGTTCGATCTGCAGGTTTCGAAGGTTTCGAATGTTTCGAAAGAATTAATTAATTGAAAGTAGTAGTAGTAGTAATGCCTGGTAAATAAATAATTCGAAAGTTCTCAAATTTATTGGGTAAATTCATTACCATTAAATTGAAGTGACGAAGTGAATTCCTTAAAATTTATAAGGTGAATTCTTATTCTAAAAACTTTTGTGTAATTAGAAATTTTTTTATCGATAATCTTTAAATGATCTGCGAGGATCGAATTTTTGATTTCAAGAATTAGACAATGGATCTGAATCGCGGAATTGCGCCAGTGAAAAAAGAGTAAGATGGCTTAAAATCCGACCGATTGTATCTCGACTTCATCTAATTAATTATTGAAAACAGACATATTATTGACAAACGGCGAGAAAAAGAGGAGGAAAAATTAGTTTCTGGTGATGAAACTAATGAAAAAAATGAAACAAAAGAGGTACAACTTATTTATTATAGAGTTTATATAAATATTTATAGTTTATATTTAATCTCTAATATATTATTACAGGAACCCCCAAGAAAGAAAAGTCGCATTACAAGAGTAAGAGGGAAAAAGGAAAAAGCTAATAACAAATTTATCGAAAATACACGTGTGAGTAAATTATTATTTTAATTAATTATTTTTTTTTTTTTTAAAAAAAAAACCAGATAAACTAGGTGATCCATGAATCAATTCTTTTAATTAATGTAATTTCTTATTGAATTCCTTATCAGCTTTGTTTAAAAACTTCAATGGGTTTAGTATGCGAAACAGAATCGTACGTTGAATATATATGTTGTGCCTCAAATGTCTTCTTGACTCAGATGTCAACTGATCAGAGTTAGGATTAGGGTTGGCTGAAATTTTAAATATCTACATAAGATCTACATAGGCCAGTTCTATAATTCTGGTCAAAGGGTGACCTCAGTTGACACCTGAGTCAAAGATGACATCTCTGTTACAACATATATACATAATAAAAAATTATTCATTTTTGTTTAGTTTTTTCTTAATTAAATAAATATGTTAATTAATTTTGATTTAATTTATGAATAGATGTAAATTTGATCATGATCTGGATGCGTACCTAAAGACTAAAGAAAAAGATTTGGGAGATAAATGTGTGAACTTTGAAAATTCTGGAAAGTACGTAAAAACATAAGTAATGATAATTTCTTTAATCGGAAAACTAAATTAAAGCATTATTTATATTATTTGAAAAGATGTCGGTTTGGTTATAAATGTCGTTTCTTGAATGCGCATTTGTCTTCTGATGGAAAATTGATCGTGAATGAAGATGTAAGATACGTTATTTTTTTCTCTTTCTCAACTGTTTGCTCATTTTACTCATTCATTTCACTCATTCATTTCGCACATTTCGATAAAAAAAAATCATAGCGTGTATTTTTAGAGGAAAAGAATGTGATCAATATGGAAACTCAAAAAAATCTTCGAAAAAATGTGGTAATTTTTTTTTAGCATTATTGCTATTTGATTATAACTACAGAATTTATGCGGAATATTAAAATATTAAAATGATTTCATGTTATATAAAAATTCACAGTACCAATTTCCAAAGTCCGATGCATATATGGTAGAAATCGAGAGAGAGGTTTCAAGACAATTAGAAATGGAAAGGAAGAATAAATTAGAAAAATTACAATCTAACCAGTCCGAAAAAGGGAATCAAAATGTTTCAGAAGTTATAGATGCTGAAGTTCAACTGAACATTTCTTCTCAAATAATTCAAGATAAATCAAAAGAAACAAAATTTGATAATCAAAATGTTTCAGAAGTTATAGATACTGAAGTTAAACCAAGCATTTCTTCACAAATAATTCAAAATGAATCAAAAGAAACAAAATTTGATGTGGAATTAGATAAAAAAGAAAATAATGAATCAACTATAACAGATTCTATAACAGATTCAACAACTTCAAATAACTTATTAGATGCAGACATTGAAGCATCTGTTTATACTCCCGATGTTCCATTACGATCGTGCGAAAAGAAAAAGGTGAAATTTTATTATTATTAATAATTATATAAATATTTATCAAATTTAATTATGAATACATACATATATATATATATATATATATATTTAGATTTCATTCAAAGATAAATTATATCTCGCTCCACTTACAACAGTTGGAAACCTTCCTTTCCGTCGTATATGTAAAGAATTTGGGGCCGATATTACATGCGGTGAAATGGCCATGGCCACGAATATACTTCAAGGTCAACAAAGTGAATGGGCATTAATGAAACGACACGTTAGTGAGGATATTTTTGGTGTACAAATTTGTGGATGTAAAGTTCAACATTTGGTTAAATGCGCCGAATTATTGAATAATGAAGTTGAGGTTGATTTTGTGGATGTTAATCTTGGATGTCCAATTGATATCGTTTTTAATAAGGTTTGAAAGAAGAAATCAATTATAATTTTATATTTTTATGGATTTCATGGATTTATATATTTAGGGAGCGGGAACAGCTCTTTTAAAGCATGATGGAAAGCTTGGTAAAATATTTAGAGGAATGGATAGAGTAAGTATAATTAAATTAAAAGTTATTTTTTATAAATTAATTAATTCTCCTTTAAAATATATATAAATTTTTAGGTCATGGATTTTCCAGTTACGGTAAAGCTGCGTACAGGTATTCAAGATGAGGTACCTTTAGCACACAAATTGGTACCAAAATTTGAGAATTGGGTAAGAAATTTTGTTTGACTTTAAATTTTTTTTTTTCTCATTTCGAAGTTTGCTAATCTAATTAATTAAAAAATTATTATAGGGTGTAGCTATGGCCACGGTTAGTTTTTTCCTTTAATATCTATTTTTAGATTTCACTTTTTTTATTTATTTGAACTATGTATTTAATTTATATATTTCTAATTGAATAAATAGTTACATGGTCGTTCTAGACAACAAAGATATACGAAATTAGCAAATTGGGATTATATTTCAAATGTTTCTAATAAAGTTAAGGAAATGCCATTTTTCGGTAATTGTAATGATCTTTTTCAGCAATTATTATTATTATTATTATTATTATTATTATTATTATTATTATTATTATTATTATTATTATTATTATTATTATTATTTTGAATTCAATGATTCAAATGATTGGATTACGTAATTTTACTTATTTATTTTTTATTTCTTTTAGGAAATGGTGATGTTCTTGGATATACTGATTATTATAAACATCTTGAAAATCATAATGTCGATGGCGTTATGATTGCTCGTGGGGCTTTAGTAAGCATTAATTTTTCTTTTTCTTTTTTCTTTTTGAATATGAATTTATGAGATGTTACACTACTTAATGATTCTTTCTTATTTATTTATATTATTTATATAGATTAAACCTTGGATATTTGACGAGATTAAATCTAAACGTCATTATGATATTTCATCAAAGGAACGTTTTGAAATTTTAAAAAAATTCTGCAATTATGGATTAGAACATTGGGGATCTGACTCAATTGTGAGATTTGATTATTATTATATTTTTTTTTTAGTTTATTCCAATTTTAATGATTTTTAATGATTTGAATTATATTATTTGAATTCTTGAATTCTAGGGAGTTAACAAAACCCGAAGATTCCTTTGTGAATGGTTTGGTTTCTTACATAGATATATACCTGTGGGATTACTAGAAGTATTGCCACAACGTATAAATGATCGTCCTCCATTTTTCCGGGGAAGGGATGATTTAGAAACTTTGATGGCAAGTCCTAATAGTAATGATTGGATAAAACTTAGGTAGTTTATTTCCTTTAACTTATTTATATTATCTATTTAAAATATTTAAAATTTGATTTTTTTATATTTAAATTAACAATTTATAATTTGTTTTTTTTTATAATTAGCGAAATGTTATTGGGGCCAGCTCCGGACAATTTTATATTTGTTCCTAAGCATAAGTCAAATTCATATGAAGGATAATTAAAATTAACGGAATTTATTTTTTTTTTGTACTATTTATAATTTAAATATGTAATAAATATTTATGTGAACTCTATAAAATTAATTCTATAGATGATGCTATTATTATTATTATTTTATATTTTGATATAATTCTCACATTATACAAAAAAAAAGAATTATATCGATAAAGAATATTTTTATTTTTTAAACAGTTTCATCACCTCTATAATATTTCGGTTTAACAAATGGCATCTTAACAACAGTTGCTTTTTGCATACGTTCACGTACTTTAACTTTTAAAGGAGTTCCAGCTGTATTATACCCTGTTCTTACGTAACCCATTGCAATGTTTTTACCTAACGTTGGTGATGGACCTCCACTGGTTACTTTCCCAACTAATTGATCTTCTTCATTATATATTTCGGCATTTTCTTAGGGAAAAAATAATAATATAAATAGATTATTAATAATAATCAATAAATAGATTAAAATTATTATAAATAGATTAATTAATAAGTATATTAAATAATAAACAAATACCTCGAGCTGGTGCACCTTCTACAGTAAGTCCAATGCGACGCTTTTTTACAAGTGATTTATCATTAAGTTGCTTTAGAATGTGTTCATCTCCAAGGAATCCACCTTCCACTCTACGACGTTTACCTAATAAAACATAATATATTTTATAACAAATATTTAATAATAAATATTTATCGATAATAATAATAATAATAATAATAATAATAAATTACCTATTGTCCAAGACAATCCTGCTTCTATTGGAGTTGTCGTTTCATCAATGTCATGTCCATACAAACACAAACCAGCTTCGAGACGTAAACTATCACGAGCTCCAAGACCAGCAAGTTGGACACTTGGATAACCCAACAAAAGTTTCGTGAATCGGGTGGCAGCTAAATGAGATACTCCAATCTGTGAAAATTTTTATTTTAAAATTAATGATCATAGTAAAAGAAGTAAAAAGAAGTAAAAGAAGTAAAAAAAGGGATTCTGCGATGTTAATCTACCTCAAATCCATCTTCACCAGTATATCCACCTCGTGTCATATGAAGTTCAATTTTTTTAATATTTACATATCTGGTAGTCATAAATCTAAAATCCCTTAAATCTTTATCCCCTAATTTTCTAAGAATTTCTGCAGTTTTTGGACCTGGAAAAAAAAAAATTTTTTTCGTCAGTTAATATTTTCTTTTAAAGAATAATAATATTGTTTATTATATCCTGAAAAAAAAATATTACCTTGAAAAGCCAATAAAGCATAATCTTTGATAACTTCCAGATTAAGAAACCAACCTCGACTTTGAAGTTTATACATTTGATTACGTATATGTTTTAAAACTTTTTCTGCACAAGCCGCATTCGTTACAATGTGAATATGATCGGCGTGTTTACTTATAATCGTATCATCAACAATACCACCCTTCTCATTCGTAAGAAGTGATAAGGTCGCAGTACCAAAATGCATTTCTTCTATATCAGCTACCGTAAGCATTTCCAGAAATTTCACACGATCTTTCCCAAGAATTCTAAAAGAAATAATATCAATAATAATAATAATAATAATAATAATCAATGTTTTTCGAGAATTTCTTTAATTATTAATATTTACTTCAATTGTTGCATATGAGATACATCAAATAATGATGCACTATCTCTTGTATGTAAGTGTTCCGCTAGAACTCCAGTATTTGCAAAATGAACTGGCATAGACCAGCCAGCGAACGGAACCTAAAAAATAATAATAATAATAATAATAATATCATAGAAATTTATTAAATTAATTTATTAAAAAAAAAAAATTTAAAAATTGAAATCATCTTACCATTTTACCACCTTGTTGCACGATAAAATCATGCACAGGAGTTCTTTTCAAGTTCGGAAGTATCAGGTTCTGATATATCGAACATAGTATATTATAAAATAGTGAATTTTCAAATTTTTTTTCAAGTAATATTTATATATATTTCGAGCTTCATTATTATATAAGGAATTACCTTATCTTCATGGGTTGTATAGTTACGTTTAATGATTATCGCAAGTCCATTCAACCTATTATAAGTATTGTTAGTGAATTGACAAAATAGCCTTTTACAACAAGCAGTCATTTTTTTTTTTTAATATAATAATGATTTACGATAAATTTAAAGTTCTCGGAGGGATTTTTTTTTTTGATGATCTATTATTAGATAATTATGATTATCAAAAATCACATTATTGAATTAAAAAAAAAAATATGAATAATTTAAAATAAATAAATAAATAAATATATATATATATATATTATTTGTTTGCACCCATCCTCACTGTAAATTTACTAACCATCAAATTTTCAGTAGATTTTTTTTCATTAAAGAAAAAAAGTGCAAAATGATTTCTATAGCTTTGAATAGTTTTAAATCCACTCTTGATGATTAACGCTAGATCATAAGAGTTCAAGCATCAAAGCCGAAAAAAAAATAATGTCAAAAAAATTTGTACGTTATTTACGGATTTTTGTGTATATGTTTTCATCATTCCCTTTGCTTATCTTTGCTTATGTATTGATTATTAATACATTAAAAAAACATAAAACACATGCAACGAAATGTGGCACCACAGGAAAATTACGGGGTCATAATCAGTTAAAACAGTTAAAACGCCACACTAATGTAAATAGAAAATCACGTCGTAAAATCCCCCAGAATATTTCAGCAAATATGTAATATAATTGGAATGGCATCATCATTATTTAATGACCTAATTACTAATAGAGCTTATTTGCCTGTTATCACATTTAGAAATGTCAAATCAGCTCATATAAATTTTCATTTGCGTGCGTGACTTATGATCATACTTTCGCTTTCTTAGATTTTTCTACATAACCATTAAAAATTATTTATTTGTTCAATTATATAGTACTTGTATGGTGATTATACTTCTAGTTTTTATTTGGAAAATGATTCAACATTTATCGCATCAATGTAATTTGATTGTTCACTTGTTTTTTTCCCTTTAATGTCTAAAGAAATTTACAACAATAAGAATTTATTGAAGGAGAATCTGCTTTAAAAATCTATTGATAAAAAATCCTAAAATTTGGGAAGAAACCTAATAATGAAGTGGGTTTAGGTGCGAAAATATGAAGATAATTAGTTAACTCGATTAAGTGAAAATAAACCTGTGACACTTGATAATTCTGACCCCTCTTTTCTATGAAGGGTCGGCATAAAGAGAACGAAGTAATACAAAATGCGTCAAAAGAAATTTGTCATAAATTCACATGCACGAAACTTACATCACTTGATCAACAAAATCTGGTAAAAAATTACATAATGCTTATGTCATCCGATGAAAAATTTTTACAAATTTTGTGAACCTCTAGAAATGTTGTTGTATACTCTAATTTGACAATCAGTTCGGGTTTCTCGGATGATTTGACGATTAATAATTTATGGTGATTTGGCGGTAAATGCAATAAAAAAATTATATTAAAAATGTATTTTTTTCTCTCAACATTTTTTTAATTCTTTCAAAAACCTTTCTTATCATAAGTCTTTCTTTTCAAAAATATAACATATTTCCTTATAATTTTTTTTTAAAAAAAAGTAAAAAGGTATTCTCATTAATAATTAATAATAATAATAATTCCATTAAAACATGGCAAATCTTAAGATACCCGAACTTCCATTGGATTGTATTTTAGAAATTTTGAATTTTTTAAAGGATGATAAAAATTCACTTGTATCTTGTATTTTGTCTAATCGAACTTGGTGTCAACTTACAATTCCTATATTATGGTATAAACCTTTTGAACATCTTTTATATCGTGAGGAAGGAGCAAAACTTATTCAAACTTATGTTTCTTTACTCGCTGATTCCGAAAAACAACAATTAACAAATTCCGGTATCAAAATACCCATTACAGCCAGACCTTTATTCAATTATGCACAATATTTAAGAGAATTTGATATTGACCATTTTCAAATGGCAGTTCAGGATTGGCATTGGATGTTAATAAAAGATAATCCAAGTGCGGTTATTTTAACTCCTTTTCGAACTAGATTAGTAGGAAATTTAATCTTTAGTCATTGTAATGGTATACATTATTTAAAGATTAATACAGCAAATAGTAAATTAATAGATGTCACATCATGGGCAGATGCTCAACTGGCTTTAAATACACTTCAAAAAATAGAAGTTCATTTTGATACAGGACTTGAAGAACTTTGTGAAGAAACAATTTCTTCTTCTTTTAATTTTTTATCATCTACCACTAAAACCATCAAACAAATATTAATTGGTATAAGCATTGATACTACAGTAAATGAAGTATTACCAACGGCTGGTCTTGCATTATCTAAAATGATAGAAGCTCAAAATCATATTGAATCATTTGAAACCAATGAATTTTGGGGTTCTCAACCAGCTTTAATGATTTATCAATCATTACAAAGTCAAACATATTCATTAACATTTCTTCGAATTAAACACATGACTTCAATTGATTTATTATTTCCAGTATTAATTGCTTGCATAAATTTAGAAACATTATCATTAGATATTGTAGAAGATCCTAAAAATATTAATTTTAAAAATTTCAAAATTCCATCAACACCTTTAAAATTAAAAAATATACATTGTTGGGGTAATTATGAAACATATGGAACACTTGAAGTAATCGAAATATTACTTAAAATGACAAATTATAATTTAAAAACCCTTAAGGTTAAAATCGTTACACAGTCATTCATTAACACCATAATTAAATATTGTCCGAATATTATTAATCTTTCCTTGGTAGTTACTAATAATGAACTTCCCAATTTAGTCGTCTTACTTAGTTCACTTAATTATCTTACACATTTCTCATTGGGGAATTTTATTTATCATGATGCGGCAACATTTATTCCAAATACAAGATTTTTAGTAAATCAATTTAACCGTGAGATTGCAAAATCTTTACCTTCCACATTAGAATATTTGGCAATCGATTTTTGTATCACTTTGGAAGATTGGAAAATATTTTTAAGAGATAGTAAATCAAAATTAAGGGAATTAGTATTATATCAAAGTGAATTAATACAAGATTCATATTTAGAAGTCATAGTAAATTATGCTCAAGTATTTGGATGGTTAAAAGTTTTGAAATATCAACAACCTCATCCTTGGTATAGTCAAGGATTTTCTGTGAAAGCTTTAAAAAATGCTAAAAATTTTATACCAGTTATTGAAAAGGCTCAACCTTTCGAGGAACCTGTTTATGGTATTTAAGCATCTTTATTTTATTTTATTATATATTTTATTATTATAGATTATTTTTGTACTAATATTAATTTATTTTTTTTTTTTATTTTTTCATTTTTAGAAAATAATTTTTAAAATAATATTTTTTTCCCATTTTTTTTAAACACATTGTAAATATTTATTTATATCACTAAATTCTCTATCCCTCCCCCCCTTTTTTTTATTACAAATAAGAGAAAGTTATGTTAATTCTTTTTTATGTATCCCCTAATATCTTTAATATCTTTAGTATCTTTAGTATCTTTAGTATGTGAATAATAATAAAAATTATGTAATAATAATATATAATAATATTTTCGTTCTATTTATTCTATTTTGAGAAAATGAAATGATCAAAAATGGTAACTTCGGAAAATTATTGAAGTTCAAAATAAGTTAATGCATTGTCCTTGGATATTAAATATCCTACGAAATTATATATTAGGGAGAATATTTTTTTTCTGGCTTACATAATATAAGAGAAAACTATATATGAATTTGATTCATCATTATGACATGAACATGAATGGAGGTCATTTTAGGTCGTTAATAAATGATAGGTCATTTTAGGTCATGGATTGACCTATTTACTTATATAGATTATTATATATAGATTATTATATAAAGATTATAATAAATATCATCATGAAATTCATATTTATTATTTATGTATTGCAATCTTTTTTGTGAACTATTTCAAAAACTTTATATATTGAATACAATATTTGATAAATTCTGAATGTATTTTGTTTAATAAAATTCATGTTTGGTTTGCATGAAACAATTGTTTGTATACAAAAGTGTATAGACATATATACTACATAACATGTGACTTAGTCACATTATCATTAACTCTTTCCATTTCTATTTTCCCTCCTCCAAAGAACAACAGAATGCTTATTATTTATTTTTATTAAAGATAAAAAACTTAACAGGAGAAGAGGGATCAATAATGAGAAATCTTTTGACAAGAAAAAGGTGCCTCCCGATTATACATGCCTTACATGCCTCAAAATTGCTTATCATATAAAGTCAAAATAATTATCCCAAAATAGTTTTTTTATAGTATTTTTAATGAAACCTGAAATTTCCTCTTGTGATATCGAAGGCTTGATATCAAATAATATGATAGTGGATAAAAATGCTTGTCCGAAAGTGCGTGATACAGGCAAGAAACAATTTGTCTTGCAATCATATGATTATCTATTATAAGAACTAAATAAGCCAATTGCAAAGAACTATTTTGTCTTATGATTAAAATTTCATCACCTTATTAACTTGTTATTTCCCTGTGTCAGCCAAAATTAAATGACTAGTCCAAATAGGCCTTCACCAACATCCGTTAGACCTTCAAATCCACCAAATCCACAAAATGCATTGGTGAATTCCAATAGATCGCCAACACCTAGTCGACCACCTAATACTATTCGAACTTCTTTAGTACATAATCAAAATAATAATCAAAGTAATCAAAATAGTCAAAATAGCAATGTACCTCCTCTTCCTTGTCCGCAACCTCCTAGACCTATAGCTCCTAATTTAGTTGTTCGTCCACCACGTCCACCGGCAGGACGTTTTCCTGTGCGAAACATGTCACAAACTGCTTCACAACCTCAACTAACCCTTAAGGCTGAATTTATTATTACCCCTTCTTCACTAGTTGGAAGGAAGAAAATAAATATTATGAGACTAAAAAGTGGACAACCTGTGGATCTCACGAAATTCAATGCACCTATTAAATTACATAGGAGAGATCCCGATGCACCAACTCAAAACGGAGGAATTAATAATAATAATAATATGATTATTTTGAATAATAATCGTCCAACTCAAAATATAGTAGCAGCACCTATTAATAATAAACCTACTTCCGAGGTTGCTTTAACTGCTATTGCACCTTACGCTGGTGCAAGGCAAAATAAAAAAAATCTATTTAAAAAGAAGACAACACAAGTCTTCCTTGCTGATCCTAAAACTCGCGAATTAAAGGCTGAAGAGCATATCCCTTGGGTACTCGAAGATTTTGGGGGAGAAAATGTTTTTGTAGGAAGTTATATTGGAGGTGATACCGCTAAATATTGTGTATTTCTTAAACAGGTATTCTTTATCATTTAAAAATTATTATTTTAAGAATTTTTCTTAATCTTGATTTGAAAAATAAATGATTTTTAAAAATTTTTTGACATGATTTTTTTTAGGTAGACAGACTAAGATTTGTTCCCGTTCACAGATTTTATGAATTTCAGAGGAAAATTAAACATAAAATTTTAACGATTGAAGAAGCTGAAGAACAAGTAAATATATAAATATACAAATATATATGCACATGTATATATTTTATTAATTAAATGAACAGTTGTTAAAAAGTTAAATCTTGTCATCTTAGATGGCCCGTGCTAAAAAAATGGAAAGTGATCGTTGGATGATGAGAAAATTTGGTAAAACAACAGAAGCAGAAGATATTGCCACTGAAGAAGGTGGAATCTATGATCCAAAATCTAGTATAAAAACCGTTGAAAACGAAGAAGATTTATTTGGTTCCGATGAAGAGCATCGTCCATCCCGTGAAGGGTTTGATGAAGAGATGGATTACGATGAAATATTCGAAGATGATGAAGAGGTATGTTTATATATAGATTGTGGAAATATTTACAAAATTTTATAATATTCAAATCTTTTTTTTTTTTTTAGGATCTTCCGGATGATGCAAATCCTCTAATAGATGATGAAACAAAAGAAGTGGGAAAACTCAAGGCCAAAGTTAAACATCCTTTCGAGCTTAACAATCAATCATCAGATGAAGAAGAAAAGTTAACTTCAGAAGGAAAACAAATGAAAAAATTAATTCGTACACATGACGATAATGATGCATATGAAAGTGATCGTGAATCAAACCCTTATGTCACCGAAAGTGATGCAACTGATTCTGAAGATACTTCCTCAATTTCAAAACAATCATCTACTACTGGGCCATCATCTAATAAAGCTTCACCAGTAATGAAAACTGAGAAAATTTCAGAAAAAGGAAAATCAACTTCTAAATCTAAAGTTATCAAAGCGGCGCCACCGAAAAATAAGGCACCCGCAAATGTTAAACCCAAAGTTATAGTTGAAAAGCCTAAACCAAAATCTAAGCAAAAACAAGTTGCCCCTAAAACTGTTCCTTCTAATAAGGTCAAGAGTACAGAAACTGTGACGAAACCAAAACTACAAACTGAAAAATTTTCTAAACTGCAGATTGATAATCAAAAGACCAAACCTGTAAAACCTCCAACAACAACAACACCAACACTTGCACCAACGTCAAAAATAACATCTGTATCGACTCCAACATCAAAACCCACTTCTGTATCTACATCAACATCTAAACCTTCAACGACTAATACACCTAATTCTTCTCCAACAATAGTACCTGAAAAAAGGGCATTATCTTCTGATTCAACTTTATCAGAAATAGAAAACTCCTCATCAAGCAAGAAACGTTCACGATCATCAAATGTACAAAAACCTACTCCTGTTACCACACCTACACCTGCTCGATCTGCCAACACTTCACCTAGTTCACCAACATCACCTGAAGACGGTGGACCTTCGAAAAAGCAAAAAATTTCAAAGGCATCATCAATTGCAAGGCAGCCTGGATCCTCAAGTGCACCTTCCGGTTCCAATTTAATAACGGAAAGGGAGATCAAAGATTTAATTCTTACTAAAAGTGTTAAAGTTAATGATTTGATACGCACGTTTAAAAATAGAATCAAAGAAGACTCCAGAAATAGGGATCGTCTTCTTTCTATCACAAAGGAAATTGCGGTTTATAAAGAAGGATATTTAGCATTGAAATAAATAGAAATATCATTAGAATATCATTGGTTTTTTTTAATTTTTTATTATCAAATCCCATATCACATGGTGAATGTATATCAGTTATATTATAATTATTTCAACATATAATAAAATATTTGAAAAATGCGTCATAAAGAACATTTATCTAAGAGATGTAAAATTGTAACAATGAACCTTATTATTATTTTTTTTTTATTTATACATATATAAAAAATGAATGATTCATGAATACCTTATTTGGTAAATTTTTTTTAATAAAGGAATTGTTTATGTAGCATTTCTTTTTGTATTTCAAAATAGTTTAAAGAATTCTAGAAGAAATTGAAATGAAATGTATTTCTGTTAAATTATTATGAATATCTCTTGGATTACAAAAGTTTTTGAAAGAGGATTTAAAAAAGTAAGTATTTTTAATAATCATTTCTTAAACCATTTTTTGAATATCTACATAAATTTCTTACATAATAATAACGTTTTAAATAATTACCAAATATTTTGAACTAATTTATTATAATTTATAACATTTTTAGATCCTTAGATGATAATAGCATTTCGTGAATTAAAGTCACAATTCAAAACAGAAGAATTAGACGAAATTATGAATATGCTATTAGAGAAAAAAATTAGAATAAAGAATTCTTATTGAAAATTTTTATTACTACCACTACTGATATAATAATAATAATGCATCAACAAACAATACAAACGGAAACGAAATTAAACTTCATAAATACTGAATAAAATTTCAACTACTTACCATTTTCGTTTTCTTATTTTATTTTATTAGTTGTTTCTTTAATACATAAATTTTTTTACCTCCCTTATTTTCTTTTTAACAAGATCATATGATAAATATTTAATTCTAAATCAATTATGCATCGATTATAAATATTTAATTCTAAATCGATTATAAAAGTTATCTTTAAAGAATATAAATACAAATAATAAATATTACAAATATTACAAATATTTCGATTTTGAAATATCAAGACAATAATGATTTATTTTTAAATGATTACATACTGGTCTGCTTTAATTTGAATAAAAGCTATACTTTATAATACCAGTGATCAAATAAAATAAAAAGATATTAAAAAATGAATAAATAATTTTAGAGAAAATACAAAAGTTGTACAATAATACAA